AGAAGATGAAGCTCCAGTATATACCCATTTTTATCAACAAGAGCTCTACAATATACACAAGATCAATCACTTACTTTAGTCTGGTAATTCACCAGATTTGAATATAATTAAGCCTGTCTGGATGTGGCTCAAGCGACGTACAACTGCTAAAGGTGCCCTACGAGAATCTAAGACTGCTGAACATGAATGGAAGAAAGCCTGGGAAGAGCTGCCGCAAGCAAAGATTCAACAGTGGATTGAGCGGATTCCACATCATATTCAAGAGGTTATATGCTTGGAAGGGGGTAATGAGTATAGAGAGGGTGGTTATAAGGCGCCTCGCGTATGGAAGGGTCAACGGCTTAAGGGAAAGCTCTCTCAACGGCAGGATCTTGGGGCGGATTCTTGGGCAGCTGGTCTAGAGACTTTGGAAGCTGCTGAAGCTCTAGCTGCTCTATATAATTTGGGTAGAGAGGATCCTTGGGAGGATTTGGAACAGGATTCAGATGAGAGTAACTAGTCAATTTCAGGGGTACTTTGAGTTTCCTAGCAAATTTGGTGGGGTAGTAGGTATTTGTAAAACAGTATTGTCTGTATAAGCTTTCCGGGAACTTTTGTTCCACACCTCCGTACTTTTTCCCCTTAATCGTCATCATCATCATCATCATCATCATCATCGTCATCATCATCACCAGCAGCAGCAGCAGCAGCATCCCGCCATATCGGCGACGGCGGGCGTTGACGGGCTAACGAGTTAATTAGCTGTTATTCCAACAGCTGTCCTACTAGACGGACACGGCTTCACCCGCTCTGCTTGACGGCCCATTTCACGGCGTAGCAAAGTTCCGTCAGTCCAAGGCCCCGGCATTAACAGCATCGTGAGCACAACGGCGGCGCGGTGGCAATTTTACTCTGTCGAAGCCAACTACAACAGTTCTGGATGACTCCCCGCCCACCACCGGCTTTGTGAGAGGAGGACACGCCTCCTTTCTTGGTCTCTTTCTCCTGAACGGAGAAAAAAAAAAAAAAGGGCTCCCTTTGTGGCGGTCTGCCTTGGCATCACCGAGCAGGACGGTGGAGCAATCCGAGCTTTTACCTAATGGCCGTGCCTTGGCGAGTCGGTTGGATTCGGAGTTAGCCATCGTCATGGCTGCTTGCTGGTGCGCTCCCAAGGTCGAGTCTGTGAGGGTCCGGAAACGGCATCGTGGTACAGTACTGGCTCCGTTGTGCGCCGTGCGGTGCATCCACGCCTCGGGGAGCGCCCGTCGCCTCCCGCATTGGCTTCTAGCGCGCTGTGGAGCAGGCAATTCCTGCTGGTTTAATAGCCCGGATCCCCAGTTTTCCATTCCCGCCTGGTCCTGTGACAGCTCTTGCAAGAGGACCTGTCCAGAGTCGTCATGCCTCAGGAGAAAAGCTCGTCCCAGAAAGACTATATAAACCTCCTCCACGTCGCCCCTTGGGAGGCACCTTTTTTCTTTCCTGCTCAACTAACGCTACTCTAGAATCCAAGCAACTTCCAGAAGAAAGATCTCCTCTCTTCGCTCCCGCAACGCTCCACTCCTTTTAAGGTCGTCGCCCGTATATCAACTTTCACTCTACGCAAGCAGTCTCCCCTTTTTCTTCTCGAGAACGGTACTCCCGAACGACCTCTTTTCTCTCCCTCCTACTAGCCATGTATACCTACACAGAGAACAACAAGTACCTCGTACTCCTCCCTCAAGCTCACGCCGTTGCCCAACTCGGGCTAGGCTTGCCACCACAACCTTCTCCCATCAACAACACCACCGAATCGGCCGTGCCGACAGAGCTGCCAATGCCTGCCGCCGGCACCAAGACGCATCGCTCCCCCAGCACCGGAGCCAACATGACCGAAGGCGAGAAAGCCCTCGAATGCGGGTTCCTGAAGCTCGGTCCATGACCGAGTCCTCCAATGGATCTCAAAGCCCCTGCAATAAACAGAAAAAGATAAACAAGCATCAGCCTCAAAAAAGTTGATTTTTGGCTTTTTTTCCTTCCCAATCATGATTCACCAAAAAGATTTACAATTTTAACTCTATTCCTCTTTGTTCTCAACGACCAATCAACCTTATGGAACAAGCAACCTGGGACCAGAAATCCTTGTTGCACCGGCTACGCACGGATTTCTCGACCTGTTGATGACTTTACCGGCGGCTAAGTACTGCTATCGATGCGGTCGGGCAAAAAAAAAAAAAAAAAAAGAAGAAAATTCAGCAATTGAACGTTGAAGAAATGTCGACTCCAACGATATGCTCTCGTCGTCAAAAGACATCTGGGCACTCGTGCGACCAACATGCTGTGCAGCCGCCGAGTTCGCCGTTTCTTGTACCTTTTTTGTTACTTTGCTAGCGCTGATTGGCCTTGGTTTCTTTTTTAAATTTTCTTATTTATCATGATCATCATTTGCATCTATCCAAGCGGAAACATTCCATTGTTCATTTTCTTTTTTTTTTCAACTGTTGAAGACAAACCCCCTGTACATACTGCCTTCACGACAGAGAGAGAACAAGTTTTAAGAGAAGGAGAAAAAAAGGTAAAAGGAAAATACAAAATGCCCATCTTCTTTTTTACTTCTTTTCTGATCTGAGGGTGAGAAAAAGAAACAGGGTTCACAGAACCCTCATCAGATCACCTCATTTCACTTTACCTTTTTTTTTTTTTAAGTCACACATGACCAAGTCGGAAAATAGAAGAAGTTTCATGTTCCCACCGTCTCGCGCATCGTCGCGGGGAATAGAGAGCATCGTCTCCACCGCCACCAGAACGTCACCCCACGAAATGCGTAAAAATAGAGCGGTTTGAGCCGAGTTAGCGCGCGAAAACAAAAACACAGACCACCCATTTTAGTGAACTTAGGGGAGGCTGTCGGAAGAAAAATGAGACAAGACGCATGAGCACATGGGCTGGGGTTCGAGAGCCTGTTTGGCGGACAATTTTATTTTTTTTTTGAACTTACTTTCAACACTCCCCCGGTTTGCCAGCTTCGGCGGACCCTAGACCCGGGGGAAGGAAGTATTTTGCTTCGAACTCGAAGCGAGGAGGCAGATCTCATTAAGCATCGTGATCAGCCAGAGCTGGCAGTATTAGTACTAAGTAAACTTCGATCGCTCGTTGACTAGTTACCAGACTAATGTACGGAGTTCGTTCGTGAGGGAACTCGATCACAAGCCCCCGAGGCAACCCGCGTCCCCTGCGACACACCGTCACTCAAACACACGATAATCCAGACAATGAGAGAGGACAGGACGGACAGGGAGGTTCAGCCAGTTAGTTCTGCATCGAATCGATGCGAAAATTCGTCGTCTTCGTGTGGAACGGACCAAGACTCTCCGTCCGCCAGCCCAGAGCCATGCAGGGCCCAGTACCCGAGCCTACAAGCATCTCTCGAACTCTCTCAGCCCGCGTGCTGGTCGTTACGTATGAAGTACTTCCAAACAAGGAGCGCAAATCCAGGCCAGCTCGCCACCTCGCCGGTCGCCAAGGGGCTTGTCGAGTCCGAACGATTCTCTTAGGTAACAAAGAGCCCATAGTTAACTATCCTCCGCGAGGAAGAAAAACCATCCGAGGAAATGAAAGAGAAAGAAAATAATACCAGCACCTAATAATAATAATAATAATAATAATAATGATGATGATGATAATTATTGTACCACCAAATGACCTCTTTTGCAAAGCTTTCATTAATATAACACCCCGTTCTTGCATGGCCCGTCTCAGGTACAGTGGTCAAATATGCTGTGGTGATCATGCCCCAGACGCCCACTCCCGCGACAGTGGCGAGGTTATATTTAAACCAGAGGATGGTACGGAGTAATTCACACGCTTACTTTACCTACGACATTCATGCCGAATTCAAGGATCCACGTCGAGTCCCGCCGGGCCCCGGCGTCCATACGTAAGAGCATCATCTCTGGTAAGCCGCCTACATAACTGCCTACCTTACAACGGCTCCATAATAGACCATTCGTCCGATCCGGCTGACGGCTTGCAAAGGACCATGGAACGGCCAGATAGGAAAGACACTCCATTTGTCCTGTGCCAAGTTGAAAAAGGAGTGAAAATTTTGTGGGGGGTGGAGGAGGAAAATGTCATCTTGATTCCCCTTCCTCTTCATTCTATCCGATCAATAAGTCCCATACATACATATATTCATCCTCAAACCCACTTCGCACAGCTCCATACCTTAGCTCATACGCATGTCTGTACCAACAAGAGAATTTCACTTTCTCTCAGAAAAAGAGCTCACTCACTCCACGGACGGTTTCGAGTCCGTATTCGGCAGTCATATAATCACTGCTAAGTAAGAGAAAATAGGGCTTTTAAATCCTCTCTATACATGCAAATATACCCAACGGGGAGAGGAAAAGTTGAGTAGAATGGGTTCGGAATGGGACATGATCGACCGCTTAAAATGGGGAGGAAATTTCTCACTTCCAAAAAAAAAAAAAAAAAAAAAAGGAAGAGGTATCAAATCCTTCAGGAGGCTTCGCGGAATCTGCTCTTGGGAAACAACCAAAATGGGTTAAAAGAGGCAGAACGGGTGAAGAAATAAAGAAAGAAAGGAAAGAAAAAAAAAAAAGTAAAAGTGTAATCAAGGTATGTATGCAACATGATGAGCCTGGCTTTTGCAGATAGGACTCTGCAAGTGTAGAACAAAACCTAAAAGAAAAAACAAAAAAGGGGAATTTTTTAAGAGAAGTTCCGCTCTTGAACAAAATGAAAACCTCCATGAGCCTGAATATCGAATCTTTACACAATCGCAGGGGAGGAAAGCTAAAATAATAAGGACCATGATAATAAAAAGGACAATAGTAATGAAAACGGTATACCCCAAAGGAAATCCCAATGGGTGTGAATGGAGAAACTCTCTTGAATGCCATCTGGAACCGGAACGATCATGCAAAACCCATGAGATAAAATAAAAATGAGCAGAGGCAGCAATAGCATTCCCATGGTAGCAGAAACCTACGATGGTCCAACAGGTAACGTTAAAAGATTGCTTGGGTTGGTGGTGGTAGTACAGTGATCCAGACACAAGTTGACAAACGGCGTCTCATCTCTCCTTCTTTGCTTCGCTTCTCCATGAGTTCGTCACTATCGACAAGTCTGAGGACTTTGACTGGAATGTGGCAAGTAAGGCTCGGCATAACCAAGCGCCCAAGTATGGCAAAACTTGTCAGCGGTCTTCACCAGCTCTGGCCTTTCCTCTTCGGCGGAAAAAGTCCATTACCTTTCGAGCCGCCCCAGAACTGCCCGAATGATGGGACTTTTCATATTCATATGCATCTGCAAATTTGCGATGATTTTTCTGAAGAACACTGTTCCTTGGCATTCGTCCGGTCTGAATAGATGGATAAGACGCATTCTCATATCCTTGATTGTATCCATCTTCGTAAAGCCCAGAAAATGTTTTATTGGGATCCGCTCGTCCTTGTGGTGCCGAAAGATGGCCTCCTGATGTGATATTTGGTTCGCTTTGATAATGTCCTTGGTACCCATTGCCATAGTCTTGCGGGTGGTACAGGTTATCAGGTGTACCGTGTAAGCTCGCAAATTGCCGGTCGATCTGGGCAGAATAATCGGCGACCTCGGGGCTTTGTTCATAGTCTGCAAAGTTGCGCTGATTCTGCTGATGAGACGATCCTGGGTGAGGTTGGCTGGTATTTCGTTGTTGATGATTGTGCGCTGCATTGTTACCCAGAACAGTTGCAGGTGCCGTCGATAGCCTTCTCTCATCTTGGGTCTGCTGACGCTCTACGTCGTCGGCCTCAGTGGAGTCCGTCTGAGAAGGACCTGCGGCCTCAATACGCTCTTTTGTGGAGCTTCGGGACAAGAATGAAGGCGGGATAAGTGAGAATCTCCGCTGTCTACTGCCTCCGGTGCTGGCATCGCTCTGTTTGCGGAAGGCATGGGACAACGATCTACGGGAATCCATCGAAGCACGAGACGATTCAAGGCCGAATGAGTCCTTCATACTGGTAGGAGGGTATCGTTTACCAGGTTTGACGCGAGGAGATCCAGGTTGAGACGTGCGGCCACCGAAGAAAGATCCAGGGCGCCCAAACAGCTTTTCGGAGATGCTGCTAACAGTACTTGATCGCTTATGCCCCTTGGAGTAATCTTGTTGACGTAAATGCAATGGGCCTGGTTGCGTACTTGGTTGGCCAATGGAGGAAGCGGGAAGTTCACCGGGTTGTATCGGAATCGGAGCCGAAATGTATGGTTTACCACCGGATTTTGGTTGCGCAAGGCGAGCTTGAGCATTGGCAGTTGCAACTGCTGGAGCAACAGGTTGACTGTAAGAGCCACGGGAAGGTAGACGGCTGTCTATTTTACCCAAAGAAGCCATGGATCCACTGGTTGGAGGTCGTGCTGATTGTGGAGGTGCACCTTGAGTCCCAGAAAAGGCACCAGTTAATTCCGAAATAGACCGAGCAACATCTCTTGATTTTGGTCTAGGCATACCTTGGTTGCGGTTTGTCACGGAATAGCCAACAGACACATGAGTTCCTTGAGTGACAGGTGGGCTCTTTGGCAAAGGCTTTGTTCGAGATGCTTCAATACTTGCTGGTTGTGTGGTTACTGGTGCTGGCGCACGTCCAAAGGTCTCGCCACTCGATACTCCACGAGCAGTTTGAGATTGTGGAGCAACATATTCAACCTGAACTGTCCTCCGTTTTGCATCTCTTTGCTGCCTTGACTGGTCATCTGTTTGCTCAAAATTACTTTGTTGGTGCCCAGAAGCACTGCTAGGAACAGTAGGTGTTTGGTGATATGGCTTTGGGGGTTCTCTGACAGATGCGCTGCGGGTTAACAAAGGAGTTTCATAATGTGCTTCTAATACCTATTGTTAGCATGGAAAGCCTAGGTGTCTCATATGTGAAAGGGACATAACAAACCAGAGGTCACTGTCGTGTTGGCAATGTCAGCAACATTTGTGGTGTTGCTTGTGATATGAGAAACAACACTGGCATATTCGGCTAGCCAACTATGCCTTGCTACTTCGAAAAGATCGGCTCGCTTTCGGGGATCTGGCACAAGGATACGACGTAGCAGGTCGCGAGCATGAGGAGTAACGTATTCTGGAAAGGTTAAGGGAGTAGTGACAATGTACTTGTACAGTAAATTAATGTTGTCGCCGTCCGGGTTGGCAGGATCATCATCGAAAGGCAAATAACCAGCAAGCATGGCATACTACCCCCATGTTAAATTAGCAAAAAAGTACTTGAACCTGGTGTCCCAGAAAGAGGCATACCAAGATAACTCCACAACTCCAAACATCCACCTTGCGCCCGGTGTACAGAGAATCGCTAACGACTAGCTCTGGAGCCGCGTAGCAAGGACTACCACAGCTTGTTTGCATAAGATCTCCTCGTCTCATCCCCTTGGCATCTGGCCGGTCGAGCCTCATGCGTTTGACAAACTCCCTGTTTGTTAAATTGTATTCAATCTCCTCGCTCAATTCATCAGCGGGATTGAACGTGTTCGCGAAGCCAAAGTCAGTGATAATGATATTTCGATTTCGATCAAGAAGCAGATTTTCCAGTTTAAGGTCACGATGTACGATTCCTTTTTTGTGAAGATACCCAACGCCGGACACCAGTTGGGCAAAGAGGCGGCGAGCAGCATGGTCTTTAAGGTACCGCTGGTTTAGGATGTAGTCGAACAGCTCTCCCCCCGACGCGTACTCTAGGATTATTCCAATGTGACGATCGGTTTCCACCATCTCATGCAATCGTACGATATTGGGATGAGATAGCTCTCGCAGAATGGCAATCTCGCGGTGGATTTTTGGAAGTCGGCCAGGGTTACTTCCCAAGGTTTCCCGCCTGATCAATTTAATGGCGACCTGTACACTGCCATCTCTTTTCCAACCGAGCCTGACTTTACCGAATTCTCCCTCGCCGAGAGTCTGACCAAGTATGTAATCCCCAAAAGTGGTTTCTTTGTGGGCAGTTTGAGAGTAGTCATGTCTGCTCTTGGGAGGGCGACCGGTATCGCCGCTCTCAGCACCACCGTCTAGATTAGTATTAGAGGTGCCGCCAGCTTGAGCTTCGATCTGGCGTTGTTTTTCTCGCATAATATCCACCTCAGGGTCTGTCACAACCATACGATTCGTGACGGTGCCGTCTTCCTTCGGTAGGCCTGTAGGGAAAGAGCTTGGACCCATCGCGGCCTCCGACCGGCTTTCCATCGCGGGCATATCATGGTCACGTCGTTCTCGTGTGCTTGCTGCCCGGCGAGGACCTTCGGGCGATGGTGGAGCTTTCCGACGAGACCTGGAAGTTGAAGCGTCGTCCTTTGGCCTCTCACGCTGGCCAGAGGAATGGACGCGTTCTCGATCTTCACGCTCCCTTCTCTCCTCCCTTCTCCTGTTTCTTGATGAGCCGGTTCTATCCTGAGGCGAAGCCGATGTAGATGAGGCGCGACTTTTATTGTTTGATGAGGTTCGCGGAGGGGGAATAGGTGGCCCTCCAAGGATGTCTGACAGGCCTGGGCGATTGGGACGCGACACGCTTGAAGCAGCTGTGGTTAGAGGAGCTGTGGAAGCAACGCTCATCGACGGTATGTGTTGTCCAGGCTGTGAAGTCATCGTCACCAAGTCATGCAGATGATGTGAATGGGACCGTGGTTGTTGCGAATTGACAGTTGCACCTGAGGTCACAGCATTGTTATGTGATTGCTGCTGGTGCTGTTGTTGAGATACCCAGTGTGATGACTGTGAGGCAGGACTCTGCTGGAGGGACTGTGACTGAGGTGAAGAGGAGGGTGCATACTGGCTGGGGACTTGGACGGGGCTTGGCTGGGTTGCCGCTTGCATCGCAGACGACATGCCTTCCTCGCAGTAAGACGTAGCACACAGCTGGATAGTAGCTGCAGCAACCTTTGCCCTTTCCCGGTGAAGAGGATGGGAAGGGGGAAGGTTGGAGCAGAAATAACAATATGGTCTAGTCTATTGGTTCCAAGCGCGAGCTTCCTTTCGACGCGTCAAAAGGGAAGTTTCAGGCAAAGATAGCCTGCTTAGGTCGCGTGGAGCGGGAAAAGAAAAAAGGGGAGGAAAGGTTTGAATGCGATCGCGTTTTGAGTGGTTCTCACGGAGTATCTTAAAGGCAAAGCTCAAGCCATATGCCTCTAAGATCTAGGGTTTTGAGGAATGTACCAGCGGCGTGTGGACCATGAGGGAGGTGGATTTTCACGAAAACATCAGAGATGGCAAGTAACCTGGGAAGCTCCGGTTTACAGCGGGCCGAGCGTCTGATGTGTTATAGAGTGAAGCAGCCACTCAGCAATGGAACCATGTGCCAGCCAGAAAAGTCTCAAAACGAAATCTTTCCAGGCCAGTCCTTTGAAGGCTTTGGCGCTCCCTAAAGTTCCCGTCACCGAGTATTTATTATCAGATGTCAAAGGGCAGACGGCAAAGACAGCTTGTCAATGAGATCTCCCCTTCAAATTAGACGGTATCCGGCAAATTACGGTTGGAAGACGACAACCGGGTCGTAACGCGAAGGTACAAAGCTCAATTGAACGAAGTAGAAAGGTACGCTTTATTTCCTGGTCGATACAATTGTACTCCTATCTAGAGATCGCGAACGATGGTCCGGTCGGAACCTGCGACGCGAGCGACCGCTTCTGAGGATCGAAGCGAACAACGACAGGAGAGTTGGATGGGCCAAGCAAGCATGATCGACGCAAGGGACAACCGAGAGCAGGGAGAGAGGATCGGCGACAAGAGAAAGAAACGTCGCGGTCGAGGCCTTGGGGAGGATGATAGCCGACCGAGCGGCGTAGTTCTCGTCTAGCGAAGGGATCGATCCTGCTTGACAGGCCGGGAGCACGGGAGTTTGGCTAGGGTGAAAAGGGGGCGAAGGAGGGTAGCAAGGAACAACAGCAGCAACAACAACAACAACAAACACGAAGCGACGTGATCGGGGGACCGGGGAGAGGAGCGAGGAGGAGGAGGAAGAGGAAGAGGGGGGGAGGAGGAGGAGGATGAGGGAGAAGAAGACGAGACGACGGGGAGAGTTCAACGAGAGTCGCAGGTTGAGGTCGTCCCTGGAGGAGGAGGAGGAGCGGACAGGGAGAGCGAGCGTGCCAGCACGGGGCGTGTTAGCTTCTGGGTGGTATTATTGTTCTCCTGTTAAGTTAGCGTTGGCTGGAGTTCCGTATCCAGTTAAAGCGGATCTGCTTGCTGGTCAATGACCTGGCGGCTTGGCGCTGTTTTGCCGTGGGCGGCTTGGGGTGTGGATGCCGCTGCTGCTTTTTTGCTCCCGGCACTCCCAACCAGCAACCAGCAACCAGACTTCATGTGAAGCCACTCCCGGGGGAGGAGGGGGCGTGTTTTCCAGCCCAGCGCGACGGCGACCGGCTTCGTTTCGCCCGGCGGAGCTCTGTGCTGCTTGCGATTAATAATGGCCTGTTTGGCAGTGCGCAAACGATCTGCTAGCCTACCACCAGCCAGTGGTCCATTGTTTCTCCTCTGTTTCGGGTGAGGCTGTGGAGGAGGTCATTGTCCGGTTACAAGGGCGCCCATCTTTCACCATGAATGGGCCGTGTGACAATGGGATCTGTCTAATCCATACCTCCATACTCCGTACAGCTCGTAACTAACTACACAACATCCACCTGTTACCTATTATTACCACGGCTCCATCCCAATCCAAGACACGACGCTCAAAGGCCATTTGACACTTTGCTCGATCGATCGAGCGATTTGATGGACTAACGAGCAGCCAGCCAGCGACCGCCCGGCACCACCAGCGCTGCTCTTCCTCGCCGTCCCCACCGTGACTCCATCGCGATATTACCTGGAGCGGCATTCTTCTCCTCGCTGGCGACTCACAAGCCACCTCAACCGGCACAAGCCCACAATCCGGCCAATCACACCCCCTCGGCGCCTGCCAGCGTGGCAGCGTGTTTCATGTTCCTGCAATTAATTTCACCAACCAGCGCTCGAGAAAGCCCGCCTATCCCCCTAATCGGTAATTAAACTCCTCCCGACACCCGCCCAATCGAATAATTCCGCTTTTCTCATTCGCTGGCATCCTCACCAGCCCTAAAAGCGAGGAAACCTTATCAGCTTCGCCGCGCGCTTGGAAGGATTGCATCGCGAAGATTTTTATTCCATACATACATATATTATACGGAGCGCTCCGTTCATATATATTAAACCCTCGTTTATTTCTTCCGAGGTTTGCTGGTGGCAAATCCTATCATCCAGGAGTTGGCTACCTAGTTGGGCGCGTCACAAGCATTCCATCCCGACCGGTTATATGTCTCTGGGCATGGATACGAATCCGCTTAATTTTGCATTGGGTGTTCATGTGGTGAGAGATCTGGCATCCATCTGTTGATGCATGGGCATACACATGACTTCATACGAAGCGATGCTACCGAGTAAACGGGTTTCTTGGCCCTCCTTACGAAGGACAATCCCTCAACCGCCTATGCAGGATCACCACCACCATCCAATAACAGAACAATACGACCACCCAATGTGAAAAATTGTACGGAGTATATTCAAGACACATCTATTGCAAACATTCGTTAAGGTATGTTGTCATTTGTAGGTATTCTCATACTTTATGTACCGAAATACCCCCCCCCCCCAAAAAAAAAAAAGGAAATAAAAGAAAAGAAGAAAAGAAAAGAAAAGGAAAAAAGAAAAAGGAAAAGAAAGAAAAGAGAAAACCAAATGAAACCAACAAGATTACAAAAGAAAAGCACTGCTTGAAAGGAAGAAATAAAAAGAAAGAAAGAAAAAAAAGAAAAAAAGAAAGGAGAAAAATCTTGAAGAACAACCATGATAATGGGCATCATCTCTTAGATCCTTGCATGGTTGTGCCACCCAGAGATACTCCGCTCCTAGCTCCATATGCCGGCGGAGGTGTAGGAGAGGGTGACGGTACCCGTGGATACCCAGGAAAGCCAGTAGACATAGGCGGCCCACCTGGCGTCTGTCCCGGTTTGTCAAAGCCGTTGGGAAGCTGGCCGCCGTCGCCTCCACCCACGACAACCTGCTGACCGTCACGCATGCGACCGACAACCATCCCCTTTGCCACGGACTTGAGGATCGCCCGGCGCGATACCCCGGCAGCATCGATATACACCAACCCGACGTTCTTAACACCTCCAGTTAGATGTGACGTCGCGGCTCCCGCTTCGGAGCCATACCTGTGGCCGACTACGGTGGTAGCCGCGAGTGATCCGGACTCGAGAAGGTTGCGAGCGCTCTGTTCAATTCCGTCTCCAATGGTACTGAAGGCGATAAGCGACCTGTTCAAAATGCCAGGCTTATAGCTGGGAATCGGCCTTCCGTCCTTGTCAAATCCTCTGGTCCCGGAGTCCCTTTCTCCCTTCTTCGCGAGAGACGCGCCAAAATTCTGTGCATACTTGCCAATCTGTCCCACGGTCTTGGCGGATAAGGCAGCTGCAGAACTGGATATGGTGTTGATTCTTCGAATATGTGCATGCGTTGTCGGTGTAAAGGTCATAGGCTTGGCGTTCGGCTTGGTTTTCTTCGTAAACGACTCAGCGCCGGACTGGAAAGCATTTGAAATATGCATCGACGTTGTCACTAGTAACCTGGAAGCGGCCGCCGCGTTCTGGACCAAGGACGACTTTGCGTAGGCTGGGTGGCTTGCAAGTCGAAGGTATTCGGGGGGCGCATTGCTAACGCTAATTTGGTTGCCTTCGCCTTGCGTCGGCAACTGTATCTGGACGGGATCTACAGGACGTTGGTCAGAAACTGTTGACCTAGATTGGGTAGGATATCGATGCATTTCGGCTTACCTTTGGAACCGGGCTTGACGTCGGCCGATTCCGCCAGATCAAATCCTTGGGAGAGCTCCCCAACGACACTCCCGTTTTCCTCGTCAACGAGAACAATTTGCCCATGGCTTGGCTTCTGCTTCTCCTTCCCACTGTTAACATAACCTTCGCCTGGGCCGTAGCTAGCGGGGTTGTAAGGTGTATGGTAATTTGGGGGAGGCGACCGCTCGAGGAATGCAGTGCACTGCGCTAAAATGGTTTCGAATGTGTCGATGTCCTCTTGGCTGACCTTGCCAGGCCCAGTACCAACTGGGGGAAACTGAATCCGTGTAAAAGCGCCGGCCTCTGGACCCAAATCCCAACGTGGAATGAGATAGCTATCCGGCGGCTGGTGGTATATTTGGGTAGTGGCAGGAAGAGGAAGTTCTAGCTCTGGAGGAAGATGTAAATGAAGATAGAAGTCTTCCACAGTCGACTGGGCGTTCGTGGGATCTGGACAGGGAGCGCTTGTGGGCACCATTAGGAGAGAGAGGGTCTGTGGCCCAGATGGCGTAAGCTCAGACTGTTCTCCATTCTGGAGGTGGAAAGCACGGATATTGTCGATACTGAAGCAAAGACGAGGATCGTTGACTGGCCTAGCCATTTTCACAGTGATGCTCTCGCAGTCTGTGTTGTAGATGAGGGCGGGGTTTTCTTCGACGGCACTTGTATGTTGACGCGGAGCCAGAAACTTGGTGGTCGACGGGGAATAATATAGTGGTCCTATATGTAGGACATTGGCTATAGTCCACTAGAGAGAAATTTTGAACTTCTTTGTGAAGAGCCTTGAAAATTGTCAAACTTGTATCAAGCGTGACCCCTCCACCTGGTTGACGACACCGGCTGGCGGCTTGTTCCCTTCCCCAAGGCCTGCCAAGGTTCACAGCCACACCGGCAGCATCATCCAGCGTCGCCCCGAGCCGGAATCCTGATTGGCCCACCGTCCGTTCTGACTTTCGCCGTCGACGAGCGCGATGATGTCATCCGCGCGTGTCAACTTGCACCGCCACAGAATGTGGCTGAAAGCGCAATGCAATCATGTGACATGGGCAAAAACGCCTGGCATTTTTCGCAGTAACGGAGAAAGGGGAGAGAGAGGGAATGCTTCTTCCGGAGAGGCTCTCCTTGGTGATGATCTTTAGAATGTATACAGTCAAGGTAGTCGAAATGAAATGTAACCTCCGGTCCGTATGTCGACTCTGAAGATTGCATTAAAGGGGAAACGCGCCGCGGTACTCTGTAAACTGTTTTCTGGAAAAGGCAGGAAACTGCAGAGAAGCGCTATCAACGTGTGCTCGCGGACACAGAAATCCTGAAGGTAGAGGGGACGCTTGTGTGTATACTCTGCTTGTACGGACATATGGCACATGCAATATCAATCGTTAGAGCATGAAGTAGATGGACAGATGTCCGTTCATCCGCAGACGCCCTTGAAATGCACTTTTCCATGGCTGGAACCGATAGGAAGGTGATCCGCAAGTAACCGAGGCTCGAGTTCTGGATCACGTGGAATCTCCCCGTCCACCCCCGGGCATACATCGGAAACCCAACTTTGGCCTCTCACCTTTCTGTTTCTTCGGTGCATAAAAAAAAATTGATTTTTCTGGGTCTTCAAGCTTGAAAATCTTTTTATAATGGCGTCTGTTGCCAGAGCATTGCGGCCTCTGTCCGCTAAGGCCTCTTCGTCCTTTGTCTCCATCAGCCGCAGAGCGGTGGCATCCAGGGCATTCCAATGGTAGAGTTCGATGTTCGTAGAGTTGTTGGATTGGTGAGCTAATAGACCAATCCCTAGCTCACGCGCTTTTTCATCTACTCCTCAACGCCGCGATGTCGATCTTACAAGCTTGACGCCTACGCCAATTACCCTCCTTTCAGAGACGGAGGCCATGATGGCCGAGTCGGTTTCCAAATTTGCCCAGGAGCAAATTGGTCCCAAAGTGAGAGATATGGACGAGGCAGAGACTATGGATCCAGCAGTTGTCGAACAGCTTTTTGAACAAGGTTTGATGGGTATCGAGATCCCCGAGGAGTATGGAGGTGCTGGAATGAATTTCACATCTGCCATCGTGGGAATCGAGGAGCTCGCCCGGGTTGATCCGAGTGTCTCCGTCATGGTTGACGTGCACAACACCCTCGTTAATACCGCCATCTTGAAGTATGCGAGCGCAGAAATCAAGAAGAAGTGGCTGCCGCGCCTTGCGACGAACACGGTCGGTTCGTTCTGTTTGTCTGAACCTGTGTCGGGATCCGATGCTTTTGCCCTCCAGACCAAAGCAGTCAAGACCGAGTCTGGGTACAAGATCAACGGCTCTAAGATGTGGATTACCAATTCCATGGAAGCTGGATGCTTTATCGTCTTCGCCAACCTTGACCCTAGCAAGGGCTACAAGGGAATTACTGCTTTCCTTGTGGAGAAGGACACTAAGGGCTTTAGCATCGCAAAGAAAGAAAAGAAGCTTGGTATTCGTGCCAGCAGCACTTGCGTCCTTAATTTTGATGATGTCGAGATTCCAAAGGAAAACCTCCTTGGAGAGGAAGGCCAGGGCTATAAATATGCCATCAGCCTTCTAAATGAAGGTCGTATTGGTATCGCTGCTCAAATGACGGGCTTGGCTCTTGGTGCCTGGGAAAATGCTGCCGGGTACGTATTATTAAAGCAAAACTTCCGCATTATTTTATGTGGTGACCTAGTCACCTGGAAACGTTGTAAATCCAAGGCGTCGTACTAATTTAAGTATTACAGATATATCTGGAATGACCGCAAGCAGTTTGGCCAACTCATCGGTACATTCCAGGGCATGCAACATCAGGTCGCACAGGCATATACCGATATTGCTGCCGCTCGCGCTTTAGTCTACAATGCTGCCCGCAAGAAGGAAGCCGGTCAAGACTTCGTCATGGATGCTGCCATGGCCAAGCTCTACGCTTCCCAAGTTGCTGGTCGTGTTTCTAGTTCCGCAGTCGAGTGGATGGGCGGCATGGGCTTCGTCAGAGAAGGTATCGCGGAGAAAATGTTCAGAGACAGCAAAATCGGTGCCATCTACGAGGGTACCAGCAACATCCAGCTACAGACCATTGCAAAGACCTTGCAGAAGCAATATACCAAATAAACGAAGAACCAAATTTCATGAAAAGGATTCGGAGTATCATGACATTTGAGGGATGGCGTTTCTTGCGTTATTCTTTGGATATACCTGTATATATATGAGCGCCTGATAGCTAATGCTAGGCTTCTTTTTCTATCTCGAGCCCTCAAGATTCTTTTTTACAAAAAAGGAAAAGGAAGAAGAAGAAGGAGAAGAAGAAATGAAAAGAAATCTCGTAGCTATAGAACATGTGTGTATTGAAGAAGTGGGAAAGGATTTATAAAAAGGTCATAATCTCATAAGCCCGATGGCAGTCTACCATATAAAATAACTGAACCAAGCTCTCCGGCCCATTTCGTCCTTTTTCCTTCCCAGAAGCGAAAGAATAGCAAGGGTAAAAAAAAAAAATGCCCTGGCGTTTTGATCTCCAGAACAATCCCCAAACCACGGTACGCCCCCAAGCCGCAACCATCGAACTCGCACCAGATATCGAAACGAATGAAGGTAGCTGATGGCTGGTGGTTAATTTTAAGCTCCTTACCGCCTTTATTTTGGGAAAATCAACACTCCACTTACCACCAGCCCCCAACCACCCCCTAAAGCGCTAGATACCCCCCTTGGATTTGTGCTCATCGCCCAGACCAGCTGTTATTATTCTTTTCAAAAGCGCAAAGAGATGGCTGCATGCACGGCAGCGGACTATGCATTTTTTGGCGCACCCGCTTTCGCATCTATGCCATGACTTCCGTGGAGGTGGCCATTTGGCAATAGATCCAGGCCGTCTCTCGATTTATTCATGGACACTGAAGGACTTCCGGTCCGAGTATACTTCTGGCGACATATCCCGAGCACAAGGAAGCCGATAAGACATGTCCAGGCACCGCCGATGATGAACATGGTTTGGAGGAGGGTATCCATCATGTCTGCCGGGGAATTTGGGTTGACTCTCTTGTGTCCCTTCTACGAAACGAGAGAAGCGAATAGCTGCACTGAAAGGAAAGTGGTTGGGGCGAAGCGCAGTGACGAAGACACAAGCAGCACCGTTCGCCTTTCCCCGATATTCTGCTGCAAATGGAGACAAGAGAAAAAAATACGAAAAACGAAAAACGAAAACCGAGAATATAAAGGAGTGTGAAATGCGAAGATTTAAAAGAAAAAGGAATGTCAGAGAAAGAGAAGGAAAAAAAAAAAAAAAAAAAAAATCCCCCCCAGCGGGCTTGATAGCGGTCTAGTTCTCCTTTTTGCTGCACGAGTACAAGAACGGTAATCTTCAAGGTTCGTCGCTCTTCAAGCCGTCGGGCCGATTCAGGTCGCCCTTCGTGGCTTTTGGCGAGTTCAACCTTGAGCCACCCAGGAAGACAAGAACAGCAAGAAAGGTCAACAAAGCCCGGCTGAAGCCAGGAAACGCGCCAAAACTGGACTCAATCTCTCATACAAACGTACTCCCCGAACCCCCCTCATTTTTTGCGGATTGAGAATAACGAACGATGAAAAGAAAAGCGGGATGACGATCGAGGCCGTGAATAATACTGTGCGAAACCATGTGTACAATTCTGGCTCTTAATTTATTTTGATGAAACGCTGCCCTGTATGGCCTTACCCCATAGCTGTGCTGCTGCTCCAATCACTGGACATTTTCGCGGTCACAGCGGTAGGGATACCTGGTTTTAATACAACTATGTGCGCAGCAATTTTTTTCTTTTTTCTCCTGTGTGATGAATCCGGTCTGCTGGGCCGGCGGGATTTAAATGCTGGCTTGACCAGCTGAGATTGAGTGGAAGGCTAACTAAACAGAAAACTACGAGGCGAAAGCTAGCATCGGAAAAAACCTCGAGGGAATAGCCTTCGAAACTTTGCTCTCTATGCTCGTCAAGGCATTCGTCTGGTGAGTTTGGCAAGTTAATGGTTCATATCGCGGAAGATCATAGCTTACCGTTATGGCTGCGGCTCTTACGGAAGCGTAAATTTATCATCCCTGTAGCCACGTTATCAGACCGTATTGCTCTTTGTTACCTGCGGAGATGGATCTGAGCCGTTTGTAGACAAGAACGCGTCTTTCTCAAGCGGAGCTTCATCCCAGCCAAGGTGAGACATGGACAACATCCATCGAACAGAAGAGTGACGGGTCCATTCTTTGGACATTTTATATTCATGGGTCGACAGCTCATACAGGTTGCCCGTACATACAAAGAGAAGCCCGATCATACTAAACCATTTCATTTTACCCACGCGTGGCATGTGTTGTCAAGGGCAGCGTACGGTTTGGCGATACTTCAATATCAATGCACGAATGCGATCAGCCATCGAAGAGCTCAGGGGAGAGAAGCCGAACCTAGATTCCCGCTTTTTCTAGACGTGTACATGCTATATAGGCTACCAATTATAGCTTTTCTGCAGGTGTGGAAAATCATTATAGGCAAGGTTGAGGGGTACCTGGTTACTCAAAAATTGGAAAGTCATGTTGATGTCGCTCTCTAAGACAATCATCGATGTGACGATTCCGTGTCCTTCCAAGCCCCCCGCCAATTCACTCCGTGGATTTGGGACTGAAGAGGAAAACATGATCGGAAACAGGGAAATACTCGGGGGTGGCATGACTCGAACCTGACCTCGTTTTAAGCTAGAGTGGTTCATTGGGACTTTCTCTGTGCGACGTTTCGAATTGACACACGGTGTGAATTACGCGCCCAAGGAACGTCAAGGACACAGCTAACCTCAGATCATCGCGAACTAGGGTGTAGTGAAGAGCATCCGGCTTCAATTGAAGATCGACCAGCAAGAATAAGAAGATCCGCCTATGATCATGGAAGGATGGATAGAAAGAGAAATGGACATAGAGCAGCTGACAAAAAGAGACCATAATCCTGTTCCCCGCTCGTATCTTCCCCTGATTTATTTTGGTGATTGCATGTTGGTTAATGCGAGCGGCTATTCCGTGTTTTGGCCATCGAGCGCTGCACAGAAAAGCCGAATACTGTTTGGCTGGACGTCAGCCGCCTGGTTATTTATAATATGCACTAGTCTGTATTGGTGCTAGCGTCGATTCTCTTCCAGCAACCGATTAGGAAATTCGAAACCTCATCAGCCCATCAATCAACCAAACCGGTCGACCATCCCATCCATCCACCGGTCAACCATACAGCAAGCTCGTAGGTCAGCCAGTCGACAGGCTCCAGCTGCACGGGCCACCACGATCGGAGCATGGTCTGCGCTAAGTGAATCTTCTATCTCCCCTATACCAAAAATGAAGCCTTTTGAAACGATGGACAGGGCTGGGGTTGACATTCTCGTGCAATCTCTTCCAACCATCCTGCTTCAACTTTCCCCGCGTTTATATCTTCTCTTGAAGTGGGAACATCACCACTATTGGGTAAGATGGAGAGCCAAGAGAGTGATCCATAGTTCTTAGATCCTGATGAGGAACCCTTTGCTTTGTTTCTCTACTTGAAGCCCAGACGGCTTTCTATTTACATTTGCAGAACCATTCTCTCGGGACCTAAGGTACCAAACAGAAGTGTTTCAGCTCGACCGATTTCTGAATACTCTTGAATCGAGAACACGCTGTTGTTCGTCCTGCGGAGAATTCTGGAGTGGGATTCAAAACAACATCGCGCTTAGTTTCTACTTTTAGTGATTCTGTGTCAACAGTCGCCGTGCATACCTCATTGCGTGCCTCGGGGTTCATATCCATAGGTCCTGAGCAAAAGTAGATTTCTCCAGCCATCTTCTTTGGTAAAGATGGCTGCGTTTCCTCCCTCCTTTTTTGCTATTCTAGTCCATGAGGGACTTCAAGGAAAGAGCCGCGTCTTCGAGCTTAAATTGGACGAGATTTCTTCCATTCCAGGGAAAGTTTAACCTCGCAGTCCTATCTAAACCAGAAGCGCCATCAGTTCGAGCTTTCTTGCCCATGATATAGTATTTTTCTGGGTGCGCACCTACAGAATTATTATTTTTATTTATCTCACCCCGAAATACCGGTCATCTATAAGGTACTATGCCTTGCAAACCAGGTTCTGACTGCTGCAAAAGCTGCCGCGGGTCACCACTAGGAAGCGGCAGAGGCAGACAACAAACCCGCTTTGAACCTGAGCTTTTCTCACAACGAAGTTCTTCCACCGGCAGCTCTCGATTTTCATCGAGACGGGCCAGAAACCCTCTATCCCTCAGCACCAACGATAAGGGAAAAAGGTACTCCTTAACGGACTTATATAATGATAAAACCATGCCTATTCCCTCTGATTTTACCGAATATCTGAATATACCTGAAATTCGGCCACGGAGCAAGTTTACGGTGATTTATGCTGGTACATTCGACGACGAAAGCGTGCTTCCTGCAAAATTCCTTACAAAACGCACAAAATCACCAAAGAAGCTTATGCGCTTACCCCCGGCAAGACTCAGCAATTTACCACCATTTTACCCCTCGCTTCCGAAACGACCATCTCGTACCGGACGGGCCAAAGAAGCAACGTTGCTACTGTCTTCTCACTCTTCTAGTGCCTCTTCTACTTCCCCCGATCTAAGCCCTTTTGGTCCATCGCTTTCTAAAGGATCCGGTTCATCTGGTCCACGAGGGTCTGTAGCGGCCACAGCGGCAGCGTTTGTACCTCTGTCTCGTTCTCCCAAGAGTCCTCCTGACTCACCTGATCTAAGCCCTTGTGCGAAACCCTTCCCAAGACGACCTAGTCCCTCCGGTTTGGGAAGAACAGGAGCGTCAGCTTTTCTGTCGCCTCCTAGTTCTCCCGGGAGTTCTTCTGGATCCCATGATGGAAGCCCTCTTAGGACACAGGCTCCAAGAGGGCCGCGGCCCTCCAGTCCAGGAAGTTCGGGAAAGGCAGCGTCTCTCTCTCCTCCTCGTGCTCCTATCGATCCTTCTAAGTTCCGTGAAATAAGCCCTGTTGCGACACGCGTTGTGGAAGAGACTCGTACATCTCGGCAAAGTGAGAACAGGGATCTATCCCGCTCTCGTTCTCCTGTGTCGGGCTCACGCAGAGTCTCTCTATCATCGCATAGAGATGGGCGCCTTACGCGGCTGCCTTCCCCAGTCTCTTCATCATCTTCCTCGCCATCTCGACCGCCGTTGTCATCAATATTTGTGGCCGTCGATCCTAGTAGAGCCCGATCCTCGTCGGCCAGACGCGAATCTAAATCCTTGTCTCCAAAACTCGATTGTAAATCGTTTAATCCGGGGCCCGGGGGTGGAGAATTTACAAAAAACAACCTGCCACTGAATGGGCGCAACGAACCTTTCGAGAGCTCTTCCACTTTGGCGCGCCGACGTGAGGCATCATGTTCACCTTCACGAGTCGAAATTAAGCCGCAGAAGAAGGTTCGATTTGCGGACGAGAGAGCCTCCTCCCTAACTGACGTCCTACGAGAACATTCACGGCCCAAGCCAGGTCTACGCGGGGCAAAACGTGTCCCGCTTCGAGGCTCCTCCAAATACTAGTCCGATTTAATTCCACGAAAGCACTCTATTCACATCATGGGCCATTACGGGCGCTTTTGTGACTGATTTGTCAATGACCTTTCTCCCTGCCACTCCCTTATGTGGGAGATGTACTCTGTGTGCTGCCACTCATTACCGTACCTTTTTCACTGTCGCTCCTTGTACTATACTCTCAATATTTTCCTTTGTCTAAGTTGGTTGGGGTATATACACTCATTGGATCTATAATTATGTATTATGAAGTATATGAATTAATGAATTAATGTCTGCACAAGTTCCCTAGTCCTATAGTATGATTTCTTTATGATAGGTAAACTACTCTGTACATATTAAAAGATTGATTCAGCAGCAAAATTTAAGAACTACTTATGTACAGAGCACAAAGGTCCCTAAGGGTTTGAGCGCAAGAATGACAGGGTCGAAGTAACAATGTCGTCAAACTAATATATTTTCCCACGCTCAAAACTTCTGGGCTCCCACCAACTGCAGTGGACACGAAGCAGGTTCAAAAAGGACACCTTTGCCCTTTTCTTGTCTACAAAACAAAATCATTGTGGCTGGAGATTTCCTTTTTCCTTCCAGCTAATGATGTCCATGCGACTCTTCACAGTCTGAGGTTCGGCGTCCCAGGCACATATTCACATCGACCCCAATGGCCAAGAGCTACAAGGCTCGCAAGGAGGAGTTCGTCTCCAACCTTACAGGAGGAGATATCTGGGAAATCAATGCAGTAATACTTGTAGCACAGGTAGGATGTTGAGCCACTGTGCCATTGTTTCTCAAAGTATGTCAGCGAAAAAACTAACAGAACCCTGTGTTGACTCTAGTCCGCTGTGCTTCTCTGGTCCGCCCTTCAGGCCCAGCGGTCCTTCTTCTCCCCATACAGCATACCAGCTCTGGTCACGGATTTTCTGCTTAATGTCCTGGCTATCTTGTTTGCCATTACTCTTTACTCCAGCGCTCCTGTTCTCCTAAATATCCTCCTAGTCACTCCCACCATTTTCATACTCTTGGGACGAAAGCGAAAGCAACCAACCCAAAAAGCAAAGCCACCGCGTGCAGCTGCTCACCCTTCACATGGCGCATCTACGAATAACCTTGACCCGTTCCCCGTACGGCCGTTCCTCACGTTATACCGAGGTGGGATGATGGTGACGACGTGCTTGGCTATTCTAGCGGTTGATTTTCGTGTTTTTCCACGGAGATTCGCGAAAGTCGAGAATTGGGGGACATCGCTGATGGATTTGGGTGTCGGGTCGTTCGTCTTTTCCGGAGGAGTAGTCTCTGCCCGCTCGATCCTCGTATCTCGGGGCCCATCTAAGCGTTCAGGAGAATCACTGCCGCGACGCTTGCTCGCCTCAATCCGTCATTCAATACCTTTATTGGCACTAGGTCTTATTCGACTGTATAGTGTGAAAGGATTAGACTATGCGGAGCATGTTTCGGAGTACGGTGTACACTGGAACTTTTTCTTTACGTTGGCCTTCTTACCGCCATTTGTGGAGGTTTTCCATGCTTTGACCACGATAGTCCCATCATACGAGGTTCTATCTCTCTTTATCAGCATCATATACCAGGTTTTACTGGAATCGACAATGCTGAAAGAATATATCTTAGTGTCCCCCAGAGGCCTGTCTCTCCTCTCGAAGAACCGCGAAGGAGTATTTTCTTTTTTGGGGTACCTGGCTATTTTCCTCTCTGGTAGAGCCACGGGTTTACGGATAATACCCCGTGAAACTGGGCAATCCGGAAGTCCTAGTTCTCGGAAAAAGTTGCTCATTCGTATGGCAATCTGGACGTCTATCTGGACAATCTTATTCACGTTTAACTCCTTTCAAGTCTTTGGCTTTGGAGCAGCAATCCCGGTTTCTCGCCGACTTGCCAACATGCCATACGTCCTCTGGGTAATCGCCTTCAACAACTTCCAGCTGCTACTTTTCTATCTATCAGAATCCGTATTCTTTCCTTCGGTTTACAGTGCTACCGATCGGGAGACTGAGACTGAACGCAGCGAGTTCGCTACGAGCAAAATCCTGGGGGCCTTCAATAAGAATGGTCTGGCAATATTCCTGATTGCGAATCTCCTGACGGGAGCGGTAAATCTGAAATTGAATACCCTGGATGCGAGCAGAGAAGTGGCCATGGGGGTTTTGATTGGATATGCAACTACATTGACTGCTGTTGCATTGACGTTAGATCGGTGGAATGTGAAACTGAAGATTTGATTGTTTTTCTCATGTGTTTAACTCCCTTTATAGACGTGTCTGGGTATACTATGCAGTGTATAATATTAGCGTTAGATTGGCAAATACAACGTCCAAGCATATGGCTTTTCCGTCTCTCTTGCGTAAAGTTAGGACATTTCAGTTCCTCCGCAGGTGTTCGAGCCTTAAGCTAGCGAGGTACCTGCAGTTATTGCGCGAACCCCTGGCTTGGCGTCCTCACATGCCTCGGCGGCGTCAATAAAGTCGGAGCTTATGATCTCCGAACTGGGCTCAATTTCAATATAACTGCTTCCAGTCTTTCATCAATGCCTGGGACTCCGTCTATGCGTTCTGTTTTTTTGGTGGAATTGACATTGTCGAGCTGAAACAATGGCCGTTGAAGCGAAACTACCTCCGTCTTACCAATACCCTACACCCATTGAAGGCCCAAACGTTCCATACAAGAATGAGGGTGCTTCAAATCCAGTTCTTCGAGGCAGATTGCTCCAAATAGGGGCTTCACTGTGAGTATACTTGCGCCGTAGCATGTGCGCTCCTTGAGTTGAGCGAAGCAAGCTAACGGATGGGATCTGCCAGAGTCCAGTCCTCCAACTTCATACAGAGCATCCTTTGGAAAACGCCGGGTTCAGCGTGCTCCACACCATTAAAGAATTAGAGGACTACGAGCCGCGATACGACCCTACTGTCTTCCCATCCACAAACTATACTGCGCAAACAGTCCCATCCTCGGCTGTCCCGCGAAGCGCAAAACGTCAAGGAGGGTACTACACGGCTGCGGATTACCGTGCGCTTTACCTCTCCGGGGAACTTACCCCCATAGCTGTAGTCGACGCGCTTCTTCCATTAATTCGTCGAGATGTCTCACCAGCGGGTGAACATTCGATTGCGTTTTTGCAATCAAAAGTCGATCTGATTCGTGCAGCTGCGGAGGCCTCGACAGCAAGATACAAAAATGGAACTTCGTTGGGTCCGATGGATGGTGTTCCGGTCGCCGTTAAAGATGAGGTCGATATAGATGGCTACAAAAGGACTGTGGGAACGAAATTGGACTACACCAACAAGTCGGGCGGGACGTCCTGGTGTGTTAAGAAATGGGAAGAGGCTGGCGCCATCGTGATCGGGAAGACGACTATGCATGAGTTGGGGCTTGGTGAGTGGCTACTACACGCGATGGTGTTGTATATGGCGGCTTATGAGGAATTTCCACAGATACATCCAATAACAATCCAAACTTTGGGACCCCCAGGAACCCTCACAATCCAAATTATTACACAGGAGGTTCTTCAGGAGGCTCTGGCTATGCAGTTGGTGCCGGCATCGTGCCCATTGCCCTTGGTGCCGATGGCGGTGGTTCAATTCGTATTCCATCAAGCTTTTGCGGAATATACGGCTTGAAGACGACCCACGGGCGTGTATCCGGATCTCCAACCCGTGGGCTCGCTACCACCACTGGTGTCTTCGGGCCTATGACCAGCAGTCTTGATGACCTCGATATGTCCTATCGCATCATGTCGAGTCCAGACCCCGACCATGTTACGTCCTCTAGTTTTCCTGATCCAGCCTCGGCCACAGCCGCGACCGCTCGCCCAAAGATCATTGGAGTTTATCAGGAATGGGTCAAACGGTCCGATCCCGCTGTTCTTTCTCTCTTTAACCGAGCAATGGACTACTACCGCACCCAGCAAAACTATGAAATTATCGACATCACCATCCCTTATATCCCACAGGGCCAGAAGGCCCATGCGCTTACCATTCTCTCCGAGATAGCTTCCGGAATTTCGAAGGAAGAAATTTCCCAACTATCTGCTCCCAACAGGGTGCTCGTTTCCAGTGGAAACTCTCAGGTGTCCGCGCGGGATTTCTTCGCAGCACAGAAGTTGCGCAGCCTACTAATGTCCCATCTCGCATTCCTGTTCAAGAAATATCCAGGAATGGTCATCGCCACGCCCACATTGCCCATTGCAGGGTGGCAAATCAGCCCCGGCGGAGCTGACCTAACCCACGGCGTCAGCGATGTCAATACTTCGCTGCGTACGATGGAGTACGTCTACTTGGCCAACTTTTCCGGTTGCCCGGCCATTTCCTGCCCTATGGGATACGCCGAAGACTCCAAGTTACCTGTGGGTATTATGGGAATGAGCGAATGGGGTAGCGAGTGGGCGCTGATTGAGTGGGGTCGCGATGGTGAAGGGATGCTGGATACCGACGAGGATGTTTCTGTCGATAGTAATGGCACTGCGAATGGTGGTGAAGCAGCTGTTGTGGTGAGCAAAGGCCTGAGAACACCCTCTGTACAAAGCGGAGGGAAGTGGGTCGATGCGATCGGATTGGCGAAGAATAACAATGTTGGCGGTAATCCGTGAGGTTGAGTTGGCGGACCTACCCTTTTCTCACGATTGGTCCACCTTTGCGAGATATAAATGATATGCGGATGGGATTATCATATTTTGTAGATGCGCGATATAATAATTAATGCTCTCGAGTGGCAGACAGAATTCCCTCCTTGCTCTCATAGAGTAGCCGACAAGGACGTCGATGATATTTCCTTTCATTCTCAGTATAGACAGCCAATTTTGCAAGTATACCAATTTATTCAATACATATCTAACCAACCCCCGAGATAACCAGAAAGCAGAGAGCAACGACAAAGACAAGAAAAAATAAAGACTGGTCGTCTGACTCATAATACCGCGCTCCGAATTCTGATTTACCCAACCCATGTCATGTTCCACACCTCCTCTCCATCAATTAAAACAATCGTGACGGGCTGATGTATCCCCCTTGCATCAACAATAAGAGCTCCCTCTCTCTTTTTCCTGCGATTGGGATGCCGGGGACTTGGGTGTATTGCACATGTCTCCAGACATCAGTAGCACACCTTATAAAAAACACCAGCAGCTTACGCACATCTAGTAGGAGAATCAGTCGAGCACGACAATACCCGTCACAGCGGAGATCTTGTTTGTATTTGTCTCGCTCTTTCTTCAATCTCGCAAAGACCCGGCGCCCGGCAGCTTGTGTGGTGAGTGGGCTGAAGTTGCATATGATGACGGCTGTGGGTGAGATGAGGAGGCACGTCAATCCACCATGCAGGTTGCTCATGCTGACGAATGGTTTGTCCGATAACTTAGCAAACGGCACAGTCCCCTGGGAAGATATTCCTCGTCTTGTTATGGATGGTGATGGAGAATTTTTCATCTAAGTCCAAGGGTCGCTGTAGCATTTTGGTGCAGGATCCTATTTGCTTAAGAAGTTTGAGCATGGAATGTGATTTACTCCACAATAACCATTGACGGAACCGTGGTGTGTTGATATGGAAGATTATGATGGGGAATCAGCGGTGCGTAGATGTTTCAACTGCCCATCTTATACTGGGAGCAGAAGAGAAATTAGCACCTCTGTTGCCACCATGAGGCACTGAGTTCTTCCAAAGGTCAGTGGAAGATGAAGTGGAATAGTACTTATCCCAATGTGACATGCAGCACCCTGGCCAAAGAAAACAAATATTACGAGGGGTGCATAATGAAAGGGGGATATAATCATTTGCTTTAGGGTAGTGGACTGAAACAGTAAAGATATTTCGTCACAAAGTAAAATATACTGAAATCTTTAAAGGCAGGCAACCACAGTATGTCCCTCAGTACATCAAGCAACAGGGGTCGCAGTGGCAGCAACAATGGTGAAAGTGGTGGCTGTAGCCCGCAAAAGGCATCTAGTTAAGAGCATCTTCTGGCACCTTAGTAGAATAAACCCCATCCTCCAACACAAAGGAATAATGAATGCCAAATTTCCCATACAAAAACCAAATCGTAACTGCATCATGGATCATAAAAAGGGAAACTCCAAGACTCCATGACATCAGGGTCACACACACGGCAAGCAAGGGAAAAAAAAAAAAAAGAAAAAGAATAAGCCCTATCTAAATGAACACACCATCTCCAGATGATGGAGCGTAAAATTCACATCCTAACCAGGCTTCTTCGGCTCTTTCTCTCAACTCTGCCAGTATCTGCTCCCTGGGGCTGGCACCATCCATCAAGGACTCCTTAACATGAATGATATAGATCCGAAGGCCATGTAATGGTGGCACCTGGTCCACTGGACTCGGTTGCTCAATGCTTATCCGCTCACTTTCGGGTTCCAAAGATGCTGGCTGAGCTTGAACTTTGGTCTCATCTTGTTTTGCTGGTCTAGATGTAGCGATCTCTGCTTCACTCTTGGACGGTTTACGAGGGCGTAATGATTTTGGACTTAGCGGTTGCTCCGTTAATTCAGAAGGCAGGCCCGGGGCGGATTCTCGCCTTTTGCGTTTTCTAGATTCGGAGGACTCCTTTCGCCGCTTCTGGCAACCTAGCACTTTGCTGGCCAACGCTGATAGTTCCAGGATGAGATGACGGGGACACAGATGTCCATACAACGAGCCGTCTTCAACTGAATCAGAGTAAGAGCATTCGATAAAGATTGCGCGGAGCGAGCCAGAAGCGATCTTTGGAGCGGCAGCCTCCCATACCCCGGCATTTCGAGGTTCCAAAGAAATCGAATCTGGCTCAACATCACCGAAAATGATGACCTCAGCTCCCGTCAATTGGTCCCTGATGAAAAATGCAGAGCTCTCCACCGTCGCCAAGGCTGCATCTTTCCCAGAATTACCATAATGCGCCGGAGAGAATGTCCTGGAGTGGCGTAAGAACCAGGAGCTTTTAAAAACGGGGCGGGCAGCCGAGACTCACCTAAGTTCCGATGCATCTATTGATACTCGACGAGATGGAAGCAGCACCGACTCGGTCGTGAAGACTGCGCTCTCTGCTCGATGGTGTTTTCCGGTCTCCGGGTTGTACCGTTGTTTGCATGATCCATGGCTGACGGCCATACACTTTGTAACCAGACCTTCGCAGACCTTGACATAGCCTTTTCCCTCTCCACGCCCCAGTCGCATGTTTCCGCCATCGACCAATCGCTGGTATGTTATCATGCCGGCACCTCCATCTTCATCAGAGAGATTTGGCCATGTGATATCGTTAAAGACGTGATTCTTGAGTGCCGCAATAGCCGAAGGGAGCGCGGTTACAGTTTTAGGCCCAGACTGAAACTCAACAGCGGGTGTGTTCATGGCCAAACCAGAAACATGGTCAAGATGAGGATGGGTGACAAGGATAGACGCAATAATCTCACGAAATATATAAGCAGCATTTGCTCGCGCAGTCAGGTTTGGAATATCAAGGCCGACAAAAGGCCCGCCCGAGATCGTTGGCCTCTCAATTTTCGTCTTCTCGTCTCGTTCAATGGTCGTATAACGCTCGAGGATTCGTCCAATCCCAGACATCAGTATTCCAGCGTCAACAGCTACGACGGAGTTTTTGCTCCAGTTCGTGGCCGTTGACCGGACGAGAAGGCCCGTGACATCATCTTCGCATGGTCCGCCTGAAGAGCCCTGCGCAAGACTATCAGCATCGACTGTACCAGAAAGATGTTCACCCTTCGAAGCTGGTTTGTTTTCGCTGAAAATATCCCTCACTGGCGGTTTACCTAACAACAACAGGGCCGTATGCCCTAAAAAGAAATGGAAAAAAAAAAAAAAAAAAAGACTCGGAAGAGAGAGACTTCCGGGAATGCCAACAAAATTCATGGGCGCTGCAACCTGAATCCTGACACAAAGCAACCGAAAACTGAGAAAGAAACAATTTTTGAAACTCACCAGTATGATAACCTGGAACGCACTGTCGCCTCGGCTGCTGGCTCGCTGCACGGCTTTGCCGCCTCCTTCAGCGGCACGACGAGGCATTGGAAGCTGTGCTCTTCACTGTATCGCCCCTTTCAAGTGTTGACAAAATACAGGCCCCAGCCCACGGGGTTATCAATCACCAAAGGACGAACTGGTGAAGAATGTTTATTCTCATGACCCAGGTCCGAACAAGCGATGGTGTCCGGGTGCCTGTGTATATGTGTGTGGGTGGGTATTGGTGTGTCTGTGTGTGTGTGTGTTCCGAGCTGGTGGTCAGCCAATACAGCCTAGGATCGGGCGGCGGCGGCGCAGTCGCATGTGCAGGGCCGCGTCTGGAGATGCCCGGTTGTTTGTCGGGCGGCGAAGGGCGCCGTTGGCAGGAGAAGGCACGGACGGGCGGTTATCGCGGCGTTGGAGAGGAGGAACGGTGGTTGACAGCGCTGCGCAATGCCCTGCGGGCTGAGGAAGCGGTGGGAAATCCGGGCATGCGGCTTTTCAAACGCAGGGAGACGTTTATCTAAAATGATCAACTATCAGTTGGTAGCCCGGTACTATTGCGTGCGATGATCCTTTTAGTCGAGCGAGACCCAAAGAAGAAATCCTTCTCGCCACGGTAAATAAAGAGAGAGATGCTGCGGAGACGCCCCGGGGGGGGTAAGAGACTCAACTCACCCTCAGCCCGTGGTGAATCGGCAATTCGATAACTACACAGGTTAGATTACTTACCATGCGGGTCAACATGCGGAGTTGCTTTTCTTTTTCAGCTTCCCCCCGAGAAACGGAGTCGCGCCAACCAAAGTATGTAAGCTTTTCCAACAGGTCAAATTTTGAGTTTGTAGGGCGAACGAGAGTTGCGCCGCTCGTCGGTTCGCCTGCAATCCTGCTTGGTAGCGGGAGGAAAAGCGATCAAAGGGAACAGGCCGCGACCGAAAAAGCAACCGACGGAAGGGCGGTAAAATCAAATAGATCGACGCCGCTGAAGCACAGCATCCTCCTCTGTATTGTACTCAAACACATAAATAAACATAATCACACAAGATTGAGGTTGGTGAGCCAGAACGCCCGCCTCTTTTTTTCTTTTTTTTTTTTTTTTTTTTTTTTTTTTGGTCTCAACCCCCCCGACCCGTGTGACTCCTCAAATTGGCCTCGAAATTTCGAGCAAAACCGCGGGCGGCATTGTATCGAGCAAGGATCAGGCCCCCAGCCCTATCTTTTTTTGGCGCTTGTGTTTCCTTGGGACACGAACGCCAGGTGGAGCACCCCAAGTGCCTTTCATCGACTCGGCAGATGCAGCTAAGACCTCGCCGATACGAGGATTTTGACACATTTTTGCCTCTGGTCACATTGGAGGACAAGGCGGCGCAACGAGGTCGTCGTGTTCTGAGAGGTCGTAAGGGGATGGTGTGCATGGCAAAACCGCCCCTTGTCTATCCAACGTCATCCATCCCTTGGAGCGGGAGGTTCCTTTGTTTGTGTGGCTACGGGCATGGATCTGGTGTTCCGACCGGGGGTACGGACGAAGCAGTATACTAGCATATACGCGATATCAGACGAAGAGATCTGAGATCTCTCAGAAAGACTGGATGTGGAGGGTATGTACTTAGATGGCTATTGCCAGTATGCCCAACAGGTTATCACGAACAATCTGTACAAAAACAATCGTTGTCAACTATAAAGCAGTCCACCATAGCATCCCATGTCCACAGACCATAGAACAAACCCCCGCACACACGTGCAACGCTAGAGTCAATAATAGGATATTTATCAAACAAGGCAAAAGAGTCCAGTGGAGTGGCAAACTTGAGTAATACAGGATTCTGCATTTGCATATTCTCACAGGTTGGATACTGGGATTTATAAAAAGGGTCATAACTTCATTCGAGGTAGAACGCCAACAGAGGAAAACGGACAAAGATAAAAAGAAATTAAGAGATCAGCTCGAAAGCTGCTATTACCTCCTCGTAGTCCTAGGGAACCATTAAACGCCACCACACAGCATGATCGCTAAAACACGGATAATCAAATAGGGAAAGGTAGGGTAGGTAGGATGCAATGGGTGGCGATCGATGTCTAGTAGATGTCAAGGCGCTTGATGTAACAATCGAAGAAAAGGATATCAACTGAAAGCGCTATACTTGCTGTTGTTGCTGCAATACAGCCGCATCATAGGAAGGTATAGGAGGGTCATTGGGGTCTGGATGAATGTCGATTCTCGCATCGCCACTCTGGCCGTTTGGGGGACTTGTGGCTGGGCTTGAATATTCGGGTGGTGGTTGATCTAGGATGGCGGCATCAACATCACTGTCATTTTCTCCGGCTTGAGCAGAGTTCGACGTTCCTTCACCGACGTCATGTGGTGGAGATATATGTGGGAGCGGGGCGAGAGAAATATCTGTTGGAGACCGGACAGGACCGCCTTGACCAAGCCTGATCGTGCCACTTCGAGTTCGCGAATGAGCAGATCCCCACCATTGGGGCGTCTGTGAGTTCTCACGGCCCGTCTCAAGCAAAATACTGCCTTGTTCACTCCCATATGGAGGAGGAGGAGCCAAGCTTCCGGTCATAGGAGCCAGGCCCCATTTCTTCACGTTGGCTTCGATGAAAACAAAGCCCAGCTGGCCAAAATTCACATGTACTGTGCACGGTCCATTGGCGCCGACCGTTGGGAAGAAATTTTGAGATTTGAGGCCGTGAGCCACGTCTTCGAGCTTCTTTCCGTTACGGGTGAAGAAGATGGTTCCGCTTCGTGGACGATAACCGACACCAACGACATCACCTTGTACAAATTCAGGTCCGTAGAGTGTAGGAGTGAATGGTTGATTATGGCGGCGATGGCCTGTGGACTGATAGGAGATAGAGGTTTTATGGAACCCTAAAGAGAAGGAAATTCAAGTCAGCAGCTATCCGGATTAACTTGCTGCGTGGCTGTCCGTACCAGGTAATCTGAATAATGGATAGGGCTTTGTGGTCATGCCTATACTGATAAGGCTCGTTTCAGGTTTGTCGTATATTTTAGCCTCCCAGTAGTAGACTTCGTTCTGTTTGGGCACGGGCAAGTTGCTTTGGACACTGCACTCTGAATCGAAAAATTCAATCTCGGTTCGCGCTTCAACAAAACAATTTGCGATCTCCAGCTCTGGTTCAAACTCCCATGCGGAAACACCTTTTTCTTGGATCGCTAGAAACTGAGATAGCGAGATATCGGTCTGCGCGGATTCGGGAGGGTTTGCTTGGATGAACGCTGGAGGAGTGGACACGCGAGAGTTAGAACGCAACGGCTTCCCAAAGTAGACAGGATGACCACCCTTTTTATATCAATGAAAACGCACCTTTAGCTCTCATATACTCTGCCTGCTGCAGCTCATCCATGGACTCAAGAGCCTCGGCCTCCTCCCTCGCAAAGGCCTGTTCATCGTCATATTCACCGGGCCGTCCGAGGCGGTCGAGTATGATGCGGCCACGCTGTGTATACCTGAGAAAGAAAACAAGAGAGAGAACGATGATGGCGATTCCGGCGGATCCCAGCGCTGAGAGAATCCCGATGAGGATTCCCTTCCCTGTTGACCCGACGTTGCCACCTAGGGAGAACATGATGCTCTTCTCGCTCGCGCTCACCCGCGACGGACGATGCCCATGGTTCACGGGCTCCGTGGCTTGCTGAAAGGAGCCGAATCGACGATGGATGGAGCTTTGAGAGGATGGGGCTGGCGTTCCTTGAATGAGCGACGTGGTGAGTGTGGTGACGAGGTCGTCCCGACTAAACATCGTTCATGCTGCAGTCATGAGTGTCGCGCCGTGCAGAGGAGGATGGGTGGGGACAAAGAAAAGAAAAGAGATGGAGTGTCGACCAGGACAGACGACTGAGTTGAATGTGTGGTTGGTTGAGTGGATGATACGGCGGCTCAGTCTGGGGTGTTGAGGGTTGGAACCAGCGTCATGCTCGGCGTTAGCTCGGTGGGGTTGGTGGGTTTTTCCCAGCACAGTTAGGGCGCAACCCAGCTTAAGTTGACGACTGACGCAACGGCGGCCCGCTTCGCTCGCAGCGGATGGAAGAGATATGTATGTGCTTAAAAAAAAAAAAAAAAGGGCAGATTCCGCTTTACGTATAAATCTTTCATTAAGATCTACCTATATATCCACACACCCGTTATTATCCCAAGTTTTGCGTTTGAATGAAAGGCCGTGTGAGTGGTAGCCCCTCTCTCTCTGCACTCTGACAGGGTGTGAAACGGCTGAAGCAACATCAGACGGAGGACAGGGTATTCACGGCAGCACGCTCCGTCCCCAAGCACAACACTCACAGCCGTTTGACTGGAGGGCGAAGCTTGATGCTCCATGCTTCCCCTTCGATAGTTTCCAACCCGACCGTATTTGGCTCATGGCATGGCCCCCATCTCAGATCTTCCACCCGCTAGACCGAGGAATGGTGCTGCCTATTGGCGGGCTGCCATGATGCTGCCCGGTGCGCCGAAGAGCTGCTGTGTAACTGGCTGCGCGAGCCACGGTAGAAAACTCCTGATTCGGCTGGCCAGGCACAGCGCATTCCACTGGAGCACATTATTCTAGAAGTCTCCTTGACATGCACGACACTCGCGGTGACCGTGGTCTCCGATCTTCAGTGTGTCCAGCGTGACACCTCCCAAGACCTAAGCCAGCATCAGTGGTCGGAGGAAAGTTCTTCCGACCGTCCTTGATGCGTCATCACTCGACAGTTGCCCGGGATGAGCCGACACACATCCGTACGGGACGCAGCGTGCTCGTGACGACAGGGCGGTAGAGTAGCTGTTGTAGTGTCATTGGCAAATTGTATTTGCAGGAAGTTATTCTTCTGTTTAACTTGCCCTAGCCGACTACAGTGAGAGTTTGTCTCGGAACATTGACCTAGGATGGCCGGCTCCAACACTCTGAGCTCCTCAGAGCATGGGGACGACCCGCGGGGCCACTCGTACTCGATCCATATCCAGACCAGAGGGACAACACTAGACAAATATCCGGGTTAGTTAGTTCTTGCAAAGACAGAAACCCAGCGCCCTTTTTTTCACTGATAAATACATGGCTAGCGAAGCAACATGCCCGCAATGTCGCGAGGCAACTTGGTTTAACGGATGGCTTGATATACCTAATGAGCCAGAGCACCCGGACGCTGGAGGATTCAGACCAGCCTCAGCCGTTTCGACAGCGGCGGTACTTTTTCTACTTGTCAGGCGTTGATGAACCCGACTGCCATCTGACCTTCGATATCAAATCAGACATCTTGACTCTCTATGTTCCACACTACGATCTTAGGAAAGCAATCTGGGTAGGCCCAACGCTTAGGCCATCAGAGGCTATGATGAGGTTGGTAGTTGATCCTTATGGTGCCATATGCTCAATATTTATTTATTTATTTATTTTTATTTTTTATTTTTTATTTTTTTTTTCGCACCAGATACTGACGTGATTGTGGCAGATATGATCTCAACGCAGCTAAGACTTACGATGAATTGAGCAAGAATATCCGCACGTGGGCATCTAAGAGAATGTCGCCTGTGATATACATCCTTCATGAAGGCCAGAAGCCGAATATCAATGCCCATTTCCTGGCATTCAACCATGAAGACCTCCTCCCAGCAATGGACGCTTGCCGGGAAATTAAGGACGAACATGAAATTGACCTTATCAGACGTGCTAATGAAATTTCCGCTTCTGCACACATTGAAGTGCTCCTTGGCATACGCAACATGCAAAACGAAGCTGAAATCCACGGAAAATTTCTCGACACGTGTGTTTCACAAGGGGCTAGGAACCAATCGTATGAGATCATTGCTGCCTCTGGTGAAAATGCTGCTATACTCCATTATACGAAGAATAATGAGCCGTTGGACGACCGCCAACTTGTCTGCCTGGACGCTGGCGCTGAATGGAACTGTTATGCGAGCGATGTGACTCGAACATTCCCGAGACGTCCATACTGGCCGAGTTGCGAGTCCGCTAATATCTACTCCGTGGTGCAACGCATGCAGGAAGAATGCATCAATGGCCTCAAGGAAGGCGTCAGATATCTTGATCTCCACATCCTTGCGCATAGAATTGCGATTGAGGAGCTACTGTCACTGGGTATTCTTAAAGGTGGCTCCACAGAAGAGATCTTGCAGTCGGGCGCATCTCTGGTGTTTTTTCCCCACGGTCTCGGTCACCATGTGGGACTGGAGGTCCACGATGTGTCACCAACGCCGCTGATGGCGTTTAGCCTGGATAAATACAAAGGATTACCATTGCTGTCATGCAGGCCGCCGTGTACGCTGTCTGCTCCGTATCTGAAAGCAGGGATGGTCGTTACCGTCGAACCAGGAATATACTTTTCACGTCCGGCCCTGAAGGACGCAAGACGGAAGCCCTTGTCCAAATATATCGACATGGATGTTGTTCAAAAGTATATTCCTGTCGGGGGTGTTAGGATCGAGGACGACATCTTGGTTACAAGGGATGGCTTCGAAAACTTGACGAAGGCGCCGAAAGGAAGGGAAATGTTGAAAACCATCCGATAGGGTGGATATGCTGGGGCTATTGAGGGAAGAAACTGCCAAGTTCCACTCGCCGGCGGGAAAGTTTGTAAAGGCGGATCACGGGCCCTGTGAATTATTTGGCGGATGATATGGCGCGACGAGGTTGGTCACTTCGGAAGATCTGAAGGTTAATGCTATCATAAGTTGTAAGGCGAAAGAGTTTCAACTTTGCGGACACTCGGCACTTAAGCTTCATCACATCATCCCACCTTGGTAGCGCCCCCTTGTCGTCTTTGCTTTTCGATTCGTTGAATGCCCTATGAAGAACAAATAATCGTCCATGAGCAAAGTGACTCCTTTGGAGACACAGCTTGACTACTCAATTGATTGCTCTGAAAAATTTTTAATCTTTCTTTGGCCTTTTTTCATTTTTCTTTTTCTTTTACTTTTTTTTTGTTTGCCTTAAGTTAATGAGTCACCTTGGCTCACCACGTGGACTGTTCGCGCGAGGTTCCTGATCATCGATGAAAAAAGTCTTTTTTTCCGCCTGATGTCCATGGTTCCAGCGGGCTTAATTTGCCACGATAAACGGGCACCGGCTCTAATTGGATCGGCCCACTGTTTCGTCATACTCATTCGAGGCTCCGACATCGAATGTTTGGCTTTTCTCAGCGTCATCTTTTCTGCTCTAGGTCATCAGGCACTGAAAAACAGGGCTGTGACTCACCTGATAGGCTGATGCATTTTTTGCATATATTATCCCAGCCTGGCTGTTTTTCTTTTCCTTTTCCTTTTTTTTTCCCCTTCCCCTTTGCGCTTAGTATCTCCCCATTTAAAAAGGGCCTCTGTGCTCTAGGGGTTGTGCTCGGTGGGTTTGGGAGCAGTGATGATTTGTGGTACCTTACGATCAATAAAAAAGCTTCATCACAGGGATTGATCTGCTTCGGTTCTTCACTCCTCTCCAACCATCTGGTGGTGACCATCATTGAGAAGCTCTTGAATAATAATTCCTTCATCGAACGACCATGGGCCAAAAGCACAATCGACGCCGTGCACGACACCGTTCTTTAAACGCGCGTACGACCGCCGTGACGAAACGATATCCTCACCTCATACCGGATCTTGTCAGTCTCCACGGTCTTCTTCCATATGACGGCTACGCCGCGACTTCGCTTCCTTCCCACTTGCCACAAGTTTGTACACCAGGACCGGGCCCTACCTGGCACAGTCGGTACCTGACGTTGCAAACCCGTGATCGCAGACAATGCCAGTTCACTTCTAGGTTCGAAGTTGAGCAGTGCTGTCTCTTCGGAGGTGAGCCTGGGGATGATGTCGATCTTTGTTATCGCATGTTGGAATATTTTGATGGACTGGACTATATCGACACATGAACGACGTCCTGTCCCTCTCCGTCGACTCTCTCAACGCGGTTTCTACCGACTCTCTTCTCCATCCCACGATGCCCCAACATGACCTCCAGAGCTTGTCATCCATGGCGTTCCATCGGTTCTCATGGACTATCGCTCGAGCAGAGCACAATTCGGTTCTACCACTCCATAGCGATACAACCTGACCTCATGACACAAATATGAAACCGCAATTTCCCGACAATTGTGCTTCAGCCCTATTCCGTTTCTCAACTATCCCACCTACCTCTTCTATCCCTATTCGGCACCGGATCCGTAAACCAGCATGAGGCATCTGACTCGCAGCAATGAAGGTGCCATCCGATACGCATCTTAAAGCTGATGGCACTGGAATGGTCTCTTACAGCCTCTTCCCACAGGATCTAGCGTGATCCTTTCACCATGGCTACCGTTATGCCCTGGATAGACGCCAGTCGAGGAACTAGGAGTGAAGATGTTTGCTCTTCAGCAACTTCAATGACTACCGACTCCCGGAGCCTTGTGGGTGGTGCTCGCGACCGATTGTGTGTCGGCTCTTTGTCGAATATACACCGGCGCTTGAGCTCTCCATTTGAGGCTCGTCGGTAACAAACATCTCTTATATCCTTACTTTGGTGTGTCGATCTTTAGAAAAAAACGCAAAAAAAATTCAAGGAGTTCGACTTCCTTTTCGACAAAATTATCCTTTTTTTTTTTTTTTTTTTTTGGTATTCTTGGAGGGAAATAAAAAGGGAAAGATAAAAAGTGTGGACACTTCGTTACGACTTGACGACCGGAAAAAAGCTCAGTTGGCTCTGCATTGAATAGAGCATGGTTTCATTTAAAAGCATCGATTATTATCTGGGAAGAAAAAAAAAATATATGTTTTTTTCGGCGGGCTTCTGGCAAACCGCCCCAATGTATATAACATCTACCGGGTGGTTATCTGGCATCAATCAGAGACCGACTGAAGGTTCAAAAGAACTACTTGTATGTACATACATACATACAATCTCTCCATACAAGGTACAAGCATCAGAAGGCATTCAATTCTTCCGGACGACATTCCCGATTTTATTTTGTATTCTGTATCCGTACGAAAATGTTCTCGCATGAGGCTGAATTGGAATATCTTAGCTGTCACGTGTCATTCTATATGGAGCTACCGGAAGATCACGGCCACTTTGCTTTTTGATACGAGCCTGCCCGCAACCCACCATGCAGACGTTCCACCACGCAAAGATGGCTGTTCAGCCTTGTCCCTGCCGAGAGTCTACAACCTTTCAGGCCCTGGCCACCCTGCTTCTCGTGTGTCTCTGAAAATGCGGTGACGGCCGGCGGGTTTGACTTGATTCTACGGAATGAACACCTACGATTTATCATTAATCAGCTTGTGCTATATCAACTCGGACTTGCGTATTCGCGGGCATCATGCCGCCCGAAATCTCTCATGAATCACCAGATAATAACTCGCGGGGGGATTATAGCAACTTAGTTGTTCCCGCGTCATCTGGTGTCCCGACAGCATCACGGCCAACAGTGACAACTGCCAATACTCGAGACGCAAACGCTGCACAACAATGGCCCCAATATCGTAACCTTTTCCCTGCTGAGAAGCTCAGGGCGATCATTTTCCACCATAAAATCGCGTCAAGGGTCTCTGGAGAAATAAATTGCTGGACCTATATCTCTGCGGGCCTGACCACGGTCGGCCAGAAAGAGGTAATTATCACAATCCAACGCAGAGTCAAGACTGAAGGCGAGGGAGACTTTCCCAGAGATCCTCTGAGATGGTTCGAATCATTATATGCATTCGCAAAGCTCGGTGATGTGGTACATGAATATCAGCATACAGGTGTTCACGTCCCGAACTTTCTGGGTCGCCCAGACGTTAAACGGATTGTCCTTTGTGACTTTCATCCTATCGACAACATTCCCGCATCATATTTTCCTGCCGAATGCCTACAGGCTATTCCGCTAACAGAGCCAGAGGACGCTGTTTCTCGACGATATGGTGTCTCGAGAGTTCTTAGCCACCTAGGTGCTTCACATCGGTGGTTCCCATTCCCGCCTTGGTTCAGTCGGGATCGCGGATCATGTATCAAGCTGGCCGATATGGAAGGAAGCGTGAAAGACAAATTCCATTGCGTTACTGTTCGTGGCGTAAGTGCCGTGAAGAGAGGCCCCGATGTCACGCTTCACGTATCGAAAGAAGCAGCCCCCCTCTTACGGGCAGCTCTAGCGACCACCAATGCGGATGAGTCCTTTTCCATAAACACTGTTCCCTTCAAAGATGCGGATTCAGGCCTTTTGTGGAGCAATAAAATTGGGACCATGCAGCCCCAGGCATACGCTGCCGGAAATTCAACCACTACCATGAACTTGACTTTTCTCACATTCTGTCTAAGTCAAGAGAGGTGCAGACTAGAGTTAGTCGAAGATGGATATTCCCGTAAGAAACAATCACTTGCTAGTTTCTTCATGATAACTCGATGAGTATACCCTGCAAGCCGCCCCAGGCTCTGTGGATGCTATGCTGTGTCCAACCAACTAACGAAAAGAATTATCCCGCAGACAGAGTCGATAAAGAAACTTGGGCGCGGCACCGTAACTCTATTGAAACCTCAGCAGAATTTTCCATCACGCTCGGAACTGGTGGACGATTCTCCATTGAATTTGAGCGCGTTGAGAAAAAGAGTAGCACCACGAATACGCGGCCTCCAGCATCTGCCTCGACGTTTCAGCCACCACCCGGATTCACCCTCTACACACCTCAAGATCCAACTTCAGCCCCCCGACCGAACCACATTGACTGTGACCATATCGTTCTGCTTGACGAAAACGTCACATCTACGGACGACATCCAGCAGCTCGCTAAGTATATCAAAACCATTACCGACACGTTAGATGAGATCGTTCCCAAGACAGTTCCTCTTAGTGCTCAAGGAGGAGGTCAGTTAATGATTGAAGCTGATATAGGCGGACCGGGCCGGCGGGATCCTCTTAGTCGGGAGTGGCTGTCATGCAAATTCGCGCCCCAGACACTATCAGCTCTGCCCCTAGATGTGATGTATCGTCGATTGTCAAGAATAGAACGACCGGATATTCAACCTAGGACGAAATTCCAGATTGTGTTTAACGTGTGGGGATTCGAAGGTGGACAGGGTTCTGGAAGCACATAGGTGTAAATGCCGTGGTTAGCGCTCGTCAGCTACATGCCTTGCTTCATTTAATTTGTCATCTTCTGCTTCTGTCCAGCATAGTCGCATTGAATAACCCGAATGTCAGTGTTCACACTGCTAAGACGCTGCTGCCTCCGCTCCTGCGCCTTTGGGAAATCTAGATAAATATAATCCACCAACAAAAGCATCTCCGTATTTGCTGTGGTACCATCAGCTGCCGCTGCCGCTGCGGGAGATTGCTGCGGCATTGACTCTCGTGGAGGAGACACCCAAAAATCAACCTCTGTGTACAGCAGCATCATATCTGCTCTTCTTGGTGTTTTCCATTGGGAATCTGTTGCTTTGAACAAGTACTGAAAACCGCCATTTGATAAAAACATGACGGCTGTGTTCTTCTTCGTTCGAAATCTGACTGGAGTATGGAACGCTTTCGGGTCATATAAGATCAAGTGAGCAGAATACACAGTTGGAGGACGTTCACCAAAGTCGCTCTCTATGAAACCAGCCATTATACGAGAGTAAATGAAACTAGTCAGCTTTTGTGCGTAAGGGTCCTCTGGAACCAACTTTTGGGAAACGATGGCCGGGGTTTCTTCTGAGGTCAAAGAATGAATACATTCACGGCTGTGGCTGCTCGTCTTATCCTCCCATTCAAGGCTGCGGCATGACTCCGAGCAGAATCTGTATACCAAACACTCTACATAAAGTTAGCATTATTTTATGCTGTACCCTTCGGAGGAATTGGTGGATCTCTCACTTTGGCATGTAAGCCGACTGGAGTTGTTGCACTCCAGGCGCGCGCAAGTCTCCTCAACTTCTGGCCGAGTGGATGAAGTAGAACTGCTATATGCATTGCCCGGTTGAAACCGCAATTGAAAGAGTGGTGGCTCCAACGTATCCTTCCCATACCAGGATATCCATTCGGTCAACACTGGGTCCTCAGGCCGACCCAGGTCCTCCAAGACTCGGACTAGTTTGTTAGCAAAATCCGCCGTAAGAATATGATTGTTCCCGAGAACCTCAAGAGATATATTCCAACCCTTTCTGTATATGGTCTCGGCGTTAAATAATCTACCAAACCGCTCGTACACGCATCCTAAATTGTTCATCCTCCATAGCGAAGTATAGTCCTGCTCTCCCTTTCTCGATACGGATATTTCCAGCATCTTCGAGTGGACCTCCTCTATCTTGGTAATTCCTTTCGACGGGTCAGCAGTATCCCGAGTGAATCGATCGTTGGGTATATATTGACTATCGTTCATGAGCTTCTGCTTGTAACGTGCAGCTTGCAAATCAGTTTCTGCGCTCTGAGACGTGGAACCATTCCCTTCACCGTGCATGCTTGCTACTTCATCGGCGTATTGAGCAGAAGCCGCGGATAATGATTGGAACTGTTCTGGCGCCAAAGGAGGTTCGTTTCTCATTTGACTCTCTCCTTTCCAACGAAGAAGTATATTAACGAAGGTACGCTCACGAAGTCCGCGTGCAAGATCCAGGGGGTTCATTCCTTTGTCAGTTTTTGCATCTACATTGGCCCCGTTATCCAGTAGAAGTCTCAGGGCTGCTGTATGCTTCTTAAGCACAGCAAGGTGTAGCGGTGTAAGGCCAGATTTGTTTGGCCGGTGAAAATGCGTCATAATGGGTATCATTCGACGTAGAAAGTGTGGTATCATTTCTTGGTCCTTGGAGGCAAACGCATCGTGAGCGGCCGTAATACCAGAGACTGCATTCACAAAAACTGCCTCCCGCAGACGGGGCGGAACCTGTGTGATATGCGTAATCAGAATGTCAAAAATAATCTTTCGGGAGTGCTTCATCGCTATGGAGAGGGCATTGTGGCCGCTATTATTTCGAAGACCTATGTCCGCTCCAGCCTCCAATAGCTCAATAAGATGACGTGCTCGGTCATCGTCAGTTGATGCTGCCATTAGAGGCGTCGTCCCATTTTTTGAGCGTAGATTCAACATAGAGCGGCCTGGCAAGTATAAAATATATCTTAAAAGCTGTAAACTGCCTTTTGTGCTGGCAGCATGCAATGAAGAGAAGCCAGATGCTCCTGCAATTGAGGAGTCTGCACCCAACTCAATCAAATATTTTGCGATAATAGGCGCGTGTGGTAATTGTGAAAGGACAGCTTTGGTGAGTGGTGTCATACCCTCGGCGCATAGTGCATTGAGGTCAGCACCGTATTCCACAAGAAGGCGAATGATAAGTCGCCTGTGATTGTTATCCTCGTCTGGGTATTCAGGCGCAGGGACAAACTTGTCACCGAAGACATCAAGGGCCTGAAAATATGTATCCCTGGGGGTATTCAGCGGACGCATGTGCTGGCGAGATATTTGATGAAGAGGAGTCTCATATTCATGCCTGGTGTCTCTCGTATTTGGGTCAGCATCAAAAGCGAGAAGCATTGCCACAAGCAACGGACGAAGCATCTTCACGGCGAAATGGAGCGCTGTCATTCCCATATACCTGACATTCGGGTTGCCACCGAGAGACAGAATAAGCCATAAGTTGAGAGGCCTATTATAGACAATGGTCTCGAAGATAGGTGGTGCATAGTTGTCAACCGTTCCAACATCGCTAGGAAGGCTACACATGCCTGGCTGAATGCCATCCATGATCTCACGGCGTAATACTCCTTCATCCCAATATGGAGAATATTCTGTACTATCGTCAACTTTCAGATAGCTGAACAACCTCAGCGCCACCGTAATTGTTGTTACCGTGCAGCCAGTGAGTACTGAGTTCAGAGAATTAGAGCTAAACATGATGTCCCAAGGAACTTCAAGAGCTAGTAGAAGTGCAATCATTTCCGTGTCTGATTTGAGAAAAGCTCTCCCTAATGCTATCTCAAATACTTTGTCTATGTAGAACTTGTGTTCATAGACAAGAGATCGTAGGACATTCATAGCCCTTTGCTCCAAAGCGGTGAGAATGAAGGTCTCCCTGACATTTGGAGTCCACCGGGGATCGTTGACGTCAAGGAGCTCACTTACAGCGGCAGGGTCGTCTCTGACTACTGCATCCCATAACCCTGGGAAGCTCTTCCAAGCCGGATCTTCACTATAATCTTTGCTCTGTAGCGCCAGAGTTTTGATAATCGCGTCATCGACGGCACGCCTCAGGCCACTCTCCACCAGTTCCGGTTCGAATCCTAGAAGAATGTCTTTCAATTTATCTTGTGGTCGCTCCAAATGAATTTCTGGCGGCAGAATGTTAGGAAGTTGAGGAGCACCAAGATCTCGCAGAAGGCACGTCACCATCCAGTTGACTCGAGTTGAATTATTCAGTCCGAGGACGAGCTCCGTTGCGCTTTTCTTCAGAACTCTTTCTAGTCTGAATACCATCTCCTGGCCCGTTGTATCACCTTCCATGCCAGCTCTACCAAACCAAACTATAGCTTCAGGGAGATCAAACCGTGTCCCAAACGCATTTATCATGCAATAGCCAATGTTTACCATAGCGTTTGTCCTCCTTGCTTGATTCTGATCCCTTGCCGAGACTAGGAAACTCTTAAATAACGCGAACCGTAAATTATGCGGAATCGCGGGGTTGCAAAGACTGTGTGCCCGAGTTGAACGGTTGCCCATGACGGAGGCAGCTCCCCCCGCGAATATGACATGTTTATCGTTTTTCACCCGGTTAACCTTTGGCTTAATAACTCTGTCGCCTGTGCAAAGCCTACATATAGCTCGTCAGGGGCTAGCAATGAATACCTTCATTATAAACTCACCTAAAGGCACTTCGAATTTCATGTGTTGTCGGTCTTTTTGATGGCTCCAGCTGTAACATCTTTGGAATCAACCTCAGTAGAGACAAGGGAAGATCCTCTTCAGGGCTCCAGCCATCTTTCCGCAGTACCTTCCAGAGGAGTGGACCCTATTTAAAGCCCTTGAAATTAGATATTTTCCTCTCATCGGAGGGTTAGAAATTCTTGCCTTTGGTAAGTCAGTATCATGCACCGACAGATTACGCCACTGCGTTGGATCTTGCTTGAATCTTGACTCTATAAATCTCCATCGCGATGCAAACTGTCCACTAATCTCGTCTTGCAACTTCATCCTCGAAATTTCGGCAAGATTCCAACCTTGCTTGTCAAACGGTGGCTCTCCTAGAAAAATGGAAACGGCCAAGAGGGCATAGGAGTAAAAGTCCCGCGACTTTTCCTTTCTGAAAATCGCAAGGGGATCGGGAGCATCCCTCAAACATTCTGGGGCGTTCCAGTATTCTGTCCCTCCAGCTCCAAAGCTTGGGCTACCAGTCGGTAACTCAACTTGGGAGAATCCAAAGTCGGAGATCTTTGCGGTTAGATTTCCACTTGCATCACGAAATATCAGAACATTGTCAGGTTTGAGGTCTCCATGGACGATGTCAAGTTCATGCAGAACAGCAATGCCTTCAAATACATCCCTGAGGAGTGAAAGTCTGATGGTCAGTGAAAGATTGTGGAACTCCTTCTTAGCCAATTCTCCTAGGGTAGGATAATCCGGACAAGCAAGCTCCATTATCAGAATAGGATATATTTCACATTGACCAGTTAGCGTAGTGATCTGTTGCCAGGAGACTGCCAAAATTTCCACTATATTTGGATGGATGCGAGTGGTCTCATGTTGGAGCACTCTTAGCTCTAATGCCGCAGATCTTAATATACTTTGAAGTTCAGTGCCACGAGCAGCAGCAGATGACGTTCCCACTGGAGGAGAAAGGTTGATATACCTATGCACTGGACGTCAGCTTCCAAAGCATTTAGCATAGGCCACAAGGGTTTGGGTTAGTCAGGCATAGCCATCTGTCAAACCCAGAGGGAGAAAACAAAAAGAACTTATGGGAGAGTGTCTACTCCGTACTTCAGAGCAACGGGCCTCGATCTGGACTTCCATTTCCCTTTGTATGTGGACATAGACCTCCCAGATCCAAGGAATTCACCCTTCTCAAACTCGTTTTCATCAAGAATAAGTAGTCCGCTATCAAAGGTTTCACTGATAAACCTGTCGATCTGAAAGATATCTGTATCGCCGGCAAGGGACTTGTCCATGGGCCTTGTGGTTTGTGGCGTAAGAATATCTCCAAGGGATAGCCGTGAGAAAGCTGAACTGGACGAGTCCATACTATCACAGATTAATTTCTTAAACTGATGAGACGAAACTGAACGCTAGAACCGGGAAAATCAATCAATATCTTGCTGGTTTTGACTGGGGACTGGGGAACGATCAGACGGAATCAATTCATAGGTCTCGGAGTTATAGAGTTGTATGCAAACGCATGGCGCCTATGTAGAGCAGAGTGCCGCGAAGATAATTTAACTCTGTGTTCTTGGGGAACACGAGGCGAATGCGGCTCACTGCGGGTGAGGTTGGCAATGCTCGCTGTGCTTGGCCAATCACTATTAGAGGCAAGTTCAGCGTTGTTGCTGAAGAGTGGGCTGCCTCGAGGTCCGAACTAGTTACTCCATACCCCTGCCAGTTGCGCCTCGCACCCAAGAACCCTGCATAGCGCAAGCTCGTACGGAACTCTGTACGAGGGACGAGCAGCAGTACCTGCAATCAGCGTGTTTAAGGCAGAACATGGGAATGACTTAAAGTTTATTTTGTTTTCGTCTGCAATCTGAGAGGGGTTTAAGGTGCGAGGTGGGATCCGATCGAGGGGGATGACTTGACAGTGAGGTTGTGTGACCTCTCCGTACCTCGTCTAAACGTGCGTATACTCGGTAGTTAGCCCCTGTGACGGAGGAGTGTGGGGTTAGTTTTTTGCTCCTTGATGCCACGACTAGGTAGTTATCAAAACCATTTATGTTCACTCAACACAAATAAACACTATCTCCTAAATTCAAAGTGACTGGCAGGACCATGGATGTATTCCAAACGGCGGTTACCTCATGCATTCTCATCCACAAGTTTCTGGATGGACGCGCCAAATACTCTACCCAGTCTAAATCGCTCGCCGCGCGCTTCAGATGGGACTCTCGTGTCCTTCAACACATTGTTGATTATTTTGAGTCTAGGCAGCTCGATGGCAAATTATCTCGAGAGGATGCGCTTCTTCTTGACGAGACGATGACATATCTCAGCACTTTGGGGGAGCGTCTGAAGATTGCGCAATCAAAGCTCACATCAACGGGTTGGCTATCAAAAGAGATGAAGAAACTGATGTGGCCGCTTCGTAAGGACGAATTGGTCGAACTCGAGCTTGAGCTGTTTGAATGGACGCAGAGATTGGATTTCAGATTATTGGTGCTGCCAGAGAAACTCCGACACGATATTATACGCATCACTGAAGACGAAGTTTCGGAGGACCAAATTTCGACATACGCGCCCAATCTAGCAGCGCAAAGGAGAATGGAAAAGTTCTTGAGCAAGACCCAATCAGCCAAGAGAAAAGATTGGGAGAGCCTCTGGATCAGTGACCATAATCTGCGTATCACTTTTAATAGCCATTCTCCGGCGAGGTTCATGGCTGGAGACTTTTCTTCTCGAAATGTCATCATTGAATATAAGCCACACCCGACTCATATCCGATCCGACAAGCTGGGCTACGAGATATTACAGCAGGAGATTGGAGAACTGGCAGCAGCATTGAGCTCCTTAGATCCAAAGTCCGTTGGACTTCTCAAATGCGTTGGCATATTTCACGAGGAGGATCCTCCTTCGTTTGCACTCGTGCACGAGATTCCATTCCAAATCGAAGAAAATCCTGTTTCCCTCAAGGCACTGATTTCGAAGAAGGATGTAGAGATGAGGCGACTTCTTCCGGCTCACCCGTTAAATGAGCGATTCGAGCTTGCTCGAAAGGTTGCAGCAGGGGTTCTGTTCCTCCACTCAATCGGGTGGGTTCATAAAGCCATCCGATCTCAAAACATCCTTGTCATTGAAAGGATGGCCACGTCTTCGTCGCCGAAAAAGCGATTCCCCTACGCTTTGGGAAACCCATACCTGGTGAATTTCCAATCATCAAGAAGCAACGATGCGGAGACTGACCCTAGCTTTCGTGGGGGAATACGATGGGAGGAGGATATTTATCATCACCCAGACCGACAAGGGTTTCGACAGGATAGCGAACATGCTAGGTATCTAATGGTGCACGATATCTATAGCTTAGGCGTGGTATTGCTGGAACTCGGAATATGGCGGCCACTGGAGAAATATTCCGCGAAATTACGAGATAGCGCGCCTCCTAGCCGTCGAGATTTCCTTGTTGAGCTCGCTGAGGAGACACAGGTCGCCATGGGGAGGAGGTACAGGGACTTGGTAATATGGTGCTTGAAACTGGAAAGCGATTCTCCGGTTGCGAATGTTCGATACGCAGCTCACGTGCTCGAGACGCTTGAGGAACTGGCAACAGCATTATTATGATCCAACCCAATTGCCTAAGTCCGTGACTGTTAGGCCCCTGGCCACTATGTCTAAGGCGGCCGGTCTCTGGATGCGGTAGAGAGAACAGGAAATTATCTCACAACGTAGGCTTCTTGCCAGTCCTTAGCCTTTGGAGAACATTCTCCTCTGATGCGGGCATAAAAGAGTGTCATTCTCAATCGGATGGGGTGAAATTGATGCTATGTAGCATGTAGTATAAGCAGAGGAGATTTCGGACGAATCTCAGTATACGGGTATCCTAGGTTGACGAGAAATACCGGAACAATGCCAGCCAAGGAAAAAAATCGCCAGGGAGGGTTAGTATATCTGGTGGTTTGATCATTTAACAATCCTTAAGCGGTTCGAGAGGAAACGAGTGTATGTACGAAGGACGTCCTCGTCTATCCCAAACAGCCAAGCTTGGTTGCGAGGTGATAGAGACCTGTGCTGATTTTACAATCCCGTAGTACCAAGGAAAATGCGAGAGCTGAGATAGTTACAGTGAGCAATGCATCACTATTCCGGCCTTCGTCGCAACCTCTTGATTTCGTGCCGTCCAAGGGACCCGGCGAGAGCGATACAAGCAATGGGGTCAATCCCGATGTTAGGCCCTGCACTAGTCCGAACTGGGAACAGCGTGATTCGGTCCAGACCCACCAGCCAGGTTCTCTGCACTAAACCAGATTGGGATTTGGCGCCGTTGAAAAGGACACGGTGCTTCGAGTCGCTGGATGTCGGACTGGATGGAGGTTGCTGATGGCTGAGAGATAACCTGGCCTCATCTCCCACGCGACGGAGTATATTGAACCGTTCTTTCACTCCGCTCTCTCCTCGCCTGCATTTCCAGTGGGTTTCTGGATCTTGCCAGTAGAGCACTCCATTCCCTTCTACAAGCTCCATGTCCGCCACCCTTCAGCTTATCCAGCTGTGATAAGTTTCGACGGAGGCGATATTTTCGCCGGCCAAACGCCGCAAAGATGTCTTCCAAGGACTACAATTATGATGAACAGGTGACATATTCTCTCTCCGCGGTCTCCATCGCCTGGTGCGCAATCGCAGTGGGCAACCAGTTGACGTCTTCATGATCCTAGGGCCAATTCTTTCCCTTCTTTATCCTTACCCTCACCGGCCTCGTTACCCTTCCGCTCACTTATACGCTTCTTAAACCTGTCAAAGGTAATCCATCCGATGACCGATGTCTAATTCGCTGTCTTAATCAGAACACCTAGCGCCAAAAAAATACCGGACACTGACTCTTTCGATCTTTTAGGACTAGAAACCTCCGCGCCGCGGATACAGTCTGATTTCAAGCCCCACCATGCCAGTCTTATTGAGGGTCAAAAGCAGAAGCTTTTGCGCAAAGAACGTCGGATAAAACGCATAATCACAGTCTTTGCGGGTTATGCAATAATGGCATACATGATATATCTCATTATCGTCACCCAGAGAACCATACCGAAGATATGGGATCCTTATGATATATTGGGAATTTCGCGGGTATGTCTTCATTCCGGTCCTGCGGCTGAAGCCTTTCCTTAGACATTAGCTTGTTCTGATGATTGACCTGCCCTCCCTATTTTAGAGCGCCGATGAACGAGCTATTAGTCGGCATTATAAGCGGCTTTCGATGAAATACCATCCGGATAAGATTAAACCTGATCCTGCTAAGAATGAAACCCTCGAAATGTTAAACGATCGCTTCGTCGAGTTGACCAAGGCGTACAAGGCTCTGACTGACGAGGAGATTCGAAATAACTATCTCCAATATGGCCACCCCGATGGAAAACAGAGCTTTAGCATTGGTATTGCTCTACCTCAATTCATTGTTACCGAAGGAAACGGCAAATATGTGCTCCTCGTTTACGGTCTTGTGCTTGGGGTGTTGTTACCGTATATTGTCGGGAAGTGGTGGTACGGTTCTCAGCGATATACCAAGGACAAAGTCCTTGTTGCCAGCGCTGGAAATATCTTCCGAGAATATAAACCGAGTTTAGGCGTTGGTGGAATAATCGGTGCCCTCAGCGCCGGGGAGGAATTTAACCAGATGCTCGCAAACGACCAGGCCCATTCTGGATTAGCAACCGTAGAGCAGAAGATATTGACGGAAGCTGATTCAGGCGCTCTTGTAGCCGGATTATCCGCGAAAGATCGCAAAGCGTTAAGTGAACTGGATGATGAAAGGAGAAGGAAGGTGCTGGCCCTACTATGGGCTTATCTTGGAAGAGTTGATCTTGATAATCCCACCCTTGATACTGGTTGGTTTATTCCTATCACCTTTATATTGAGTAATATTAACTTGTCGTTCCCTCTAGAAAAGTATGAGGTCGCTCCTATTGCCATTTCTCTTAACGATGCATTTACATCGATTTCGCTTTCATTCGGCAATCTACTGCCCATCCTTGGCTCATTACATGCATCGCAGCATATCATACAAGCTGTACCGCCAGGCTCATCTCCTCTTCTCCAATTACCATATTTCACGCCTAAAGTAATTCGAAATATTGAAGGCGAGCACTCGAAGAATCATATGTCTATCCAGAGATACATGAATTTATCGGAAGATTCACGAAGGAAGCTTACAATCGGTCCTGGGCTGCTTACAGAAAAACAGTATCAAACAGCAGTGTCGGTTGTGAAACAAATTCCCGCCTTTGAAGTTTCCAAAGCATTTTTCAAGGTAGTTGGAGAGAAAGTTGTCACGCCTAGCAGTCTTGTTCAGCTTGTCGTTAAAGGCCGTTTCATCCCGCCTGGTTACACGAATGTCCCCGAAGTCAATGAACTTGAACTTGAGGACATCGATTCAGACGAAGAGGATTCTGACGCTGTGATGGGCCGTAAAGGAGCAAAGCCCAAGACGTCCAAGCCTGCGAAGCAAGAAGAAGAAGAAATTCAACCACCTCTCGCACATGCTCCCTATTTTGCTCGTGATCATTCACCCCGGTGGCACATTTTCCTTGCAGACGTCAAAGCAGATAGAATGGCTGTACCTCCATTTACCTTCACGACTTTCGACAAGCCTATATTCGATGAGAAAGGAAACCCCACGTTCAATATGCAAACCTTGAAGATGCAATTTCAAGCTCCACCTCAAATTGGAAACTTCCCATTTACTTTATATGTTGTCTGTGATAGTTACATTGGATTTGACACCTGGAGGGACGTTGTCCTGGAGGTTGAAGGTTTCGCCAAAGCAGCACAGTTGGCGGAGGATGATGAAATTAGCGAACCTGATGAAGGTATGGCAATAACGCCCTGGTATGTTTATTGTTTATCACGATACTAATTTTAAGCCTAGATTCGCTTGCAGGTCAAATGCAGGCTCTTAAAACCGGGCAAGCACCGGCTCCAAGGAAAAAGCGACCCGCCAAAGACGAATCTAGCGAAGAAGATGAGAGCGATACGGAAGGCGACGTGGATGATGATACCAGCGCCACTGACACAGAGACAGACACAGATGGAGAATAGCCGCGAACAAAAAGGCCGGATTGTATATTTAATTGAGCGAGGTCGTCCCATGAGACGCTCTATATCCCAGTCTTTGTCGCTTTCTTTCTTACGAGCTTATTAATGGCGGACATATTATAGAACTTCTTTTTATCTCGGTCGCGTTGCGATTCTCCTCCGTGTGTTTAGGGGGCTGTCTGTCTTCCGGTTATAAGCATCCATGGGCAAATTTTTTTAAGCTGTGCTTTGCCGGATGAATTAACCACAGGGATAAATTTAGCATCATGATGAAAATCCCATATCTGAATCACCTTTTTTGTGAATTGTGATTTCTGGGGCCCGAAAGGAGGCGAAAATGGGAAAGTACAAAATCGTTGGCCATATCGGATGGGCATGATCTGGTTTGTAGAGGCTAATTGGAGATACTCCTCTATTCCCGCATTTGCAATGTTATAGGAGAGGAAGATTTCAGAAACAATTGAGACAATGTGGTACAGCATATCTTGGAGGCCGTCTTTTCCTGTGAAGCGTTTTCTCAGTGAAAGGTGTTGGAAAGATAAAAGCAGTCAAAATGCGCTCCCATGCAGGGTGCAGTCAGGTATGAAATTCAATTAGAAGATTATTTTTATCCAATAGAAAATAAACCCAGTTTTAATCAAAGATTCGTGTCATCGAGCAAACCCAGTTATTATTTCACTCATCCATCTCAATGTAAGCCGTCGATATGCAAACGAGGTAAATTAAAACAATCTCACTCTTCTAAATTTTGAAGAAGACTCGCCACAAAGTGAACAAGGTAGAACATACCGCGCGGAAAGATCATCTGAAAGCAACCATAACAAGATCACAAACCAAGAAAAATCGTCAGGTATAGTCCAGGGACATCTCGATTCTCAACCGGTCCATGCGAGTTCCACTTACCACAGGATACAGATTACTAAAACGGCAGAGCCACAGATGCATGCCTACAACATCCTCGCGTGATCGAAGAAGTTAGGGAAGGGATTTTGGCCTCCCGGACCTTGCTGGAGTGATCTGTGATACATGGCCTCATTGCGGGACCAGCGCTGAAGTTTTGTGAACGTACATTATCTATACGCCAAAATCTGGAAACCAATCACCAGGCTTCTGACCATTACAACAACCTTCTCAGGACAGAGAAATGAAGCGTGAATCAAAATTCCTTGGTTGAGTCAGCTCTCTAGGATAGATTTTTGTTGTCAGTAATGGCTTTTTGAGCAAGCAGCAAATATGTTTTGCAGAAGTTGTTATACTAAGCCATAATGTCAGTTTTAAATTTTCTAATAATAGTGATAACTTAATTACTTATCTGAAACGCCAGTAAAACATGCTAGCCTGAAAGCCAAAATCATTCTGAGACTACGGAGTACAGAGTACTCCAATGCAAGTTGTCTTGCTGATCAAAAGAATACTCCGTACCAACTGAAAAGCAGATAACTTGACAGAAAGGTCCATTTAGGAAAACGACAATTCTGACCCTAGAACTCTAGGATCACAACTTGTAGTTGTGGTCCGCGCCTACAGCATCAGGACGCGTAATGAAGACATCTGGAGTCGATCCCCACATATCGTGGTTCCTATCTAGCTTCCTTTACCGATATTGAGCTGTCGAACCATTTGCTTAGGGCTTAAGCCTTCGTCCGCACCTTGCACAGGATCATATCATTAGTAAACCTCTGGGGACTAGGGGAGATGCTAGCATTTTAGGCAAGTGACTTGGTTACAGATATCCCCATCCTATCTTAGTGCCCTGCTACAATTGCGACCATGTCGAACTGACCGTGTCTTTTACTCTGAACTCCGGGAACTTGCGAGTCACAATAAACGGACCTCTGCTTGAAAATATATAAATGAAGCTTTCTCTCTCTCGACATTAGTTTCCTGCTAATCTAAGTTCGGTATTATCTGATTTTGATATTAAGTCTTCTCTGCTATAAGTAAAAATGAAAAGTCTGTTGTGTCTAAAAAGATGATTAGAATTGCTTAGTTCAAGCTTTCGGTCACTCATGGAAGTATTCAGCATTATGCATCTCTCCGTATAAATACTGGTTCTATAAAATTCATCATGCCGATCATTGCCGACGACAAGACCCCGCTGTAGCGGTGGATGGTTTAGGAGGGGGATGCAGGGCCCCAGTTGGTGCCACTCAAGAAATTGGGGTCCTGGGTATTAAAAGGGAGCATCTGCGGCGACGATGCTCCGGGAATTGACGTGTCCGGAGAGAACGGCAGGGTATTGCCAGCGGGTTTACCCGCCTTCTCCAATGCGAGCTTCAAAAGGCGATTTAAACTCAGAGATGCACGATGGGCGGAGTCGCTGGTAATCGAAAGTGCTTCGAGCCATCGAATCACAAGAGCTGATTCCGCGATAATATTTTCTTTCTCTGCCGGGATATGCTGCATATCGAAGGATACCTCCGTCATCAAAACCACACCAGCTTGGATCAGGTAATGAAGGGCACACCACCAAGGTGTCGCACGATAGAATTCGACAGCATCGACATGGGCCGGTAGTAGTTGGACTAGGTTTCGTGCTGCTGATAGGCAGCGCAGTGCAGCGTCTGCATCTGATTGTCGAGAAGCTTCAGACTGAGAAGGAATTGCTGCATTTAGCTTGTATATATCGCAGAGGCCCGGCTTATTAATAAGCATCTTTGCACTCAAATATCTGAGCGAGAGATACATGCGCTGAGCCAAGGGCACCCCTGCAATATTATCATGCTTCGGTGAGACCAAGAGACCAGGAGAAAGGTCATTTTCCCAGTGAATTAGTTTGCTGTTTAAATCAATAACCATTTTTTGGACACGTGCCCATGTTTGATTTACCGTACTCGAGCTGTACAGAGCACCCAGGGCCTCATTGACAATCGAGTCCAAGCGAAGACTGGCAACAAAGACATCGAAATCACACGACAATGAACCCTTCCGGCTACCCGCCATGGGAATTGTCAGTGTCGATCCTTGCGAGGCAAAGCGTTCTGCTGCTGATGGATTGGAATAGTAAGTATCTGTGGCGCTCGACAGTTGTGTGCTTATATGTCGATCTTGAATCGAGGAAGGAAGCCCGGTTAGGAGAGATAGCAACCGTTCGGCGGAACAAAGCGAATGCCAAACCTTCACTCGAAGCTCTCTTTCTTCGTCGGAAGTATTTTGGGGATTATCAACCAGGTGTAGCGCCTGACCGTAGGCATATCTAACGGCCAAAGCTATTAAGTATGAAGCCCTTTATCAGATCTTAGCAATACGAATTGGCAGAAAGGCCTCCTGGAACTTTACCTATTTATCTGATAGCTAGCAATACAATACATCCCGCTGATTGTCAAGAGCTGAATATGCTCCATTGTAGGCAGACTTATCATTTGAATGGGTTCTTGGCCCAAAACGCGGGATCTTATCCAGTAGACAATGTGGTCTAGACCCTCATGGGGCATCCGAACACGCTCGCTGAACAACGCGCCGATAGCGAAGACCACATTGAGAATTGCCAGCCACAGACAACTTCCATTAGGAGGCTGTGTTGTTTCGCGGTAAGAAAGATACTGGGGTATAAAGTTCCTTTCCGCAATAACCGGGAAAACGGGGTGCACAGTAGAAAAGTAGGAATCGATTAGCAGTTCCGCTGTTGACTTCGGAGGTAGCTGGAGGGCAGCATCAATTGACTGAGAAATACCAGAGACCTGGGACTGGGTAATGTCATTTGCAAAGTAGGTGCAGTCATGCACCAATAGCGATTCAATATCATTCAGACTCGGCTCGTCAGCCATACCGGCGAGACTATCAAGAGCTCCGGGCGTCAGGTCATGGGCTGCTGGTTTGTCAGATACAGAGCTTCTTAAAGGGATAAAATACCCAACATTTTGAGACGAGCTTGTTTGTGGCCAGCTTCATCATCACCTCTTCAACCCAATGGACAACTGACGAGTTTCCAAGGTACCCAGCCGATCCCACTGATACGATAGCGTTGTGCTGAGCACAATTCTGGAGTTGCGGAGATGTTGTTGATACTAAAACTGAGTGCTCATCTTCAATTGCATCCTCGCCAGAGAGAGAGTCTTCTTCGGCAAAGCGCCTCTAAAGCCAATGGGATATTAGTCTCTGCGGCTAATTCTGGGAGTAAAGCAGCAGTTGCAATACAATGCTTATTGCTGCTTTTCTGCTACTTGCCTCTGACAATGCATTCCGAATGTCCTGCTGTCTGTTGGCATCTTGGTTTGGGAGCAATTCCGAAAGAAGACTTTCGTACCGCTCTAGCTTAGCAGCCATTGTTCGTGCATTCCTGACATTAAAGCACTCAGCAAACGTCAAGAACGTAGAAGTGGGTGTTGGCAGTTTGAATTGACCAAGCGCACTTGCCAATGGAGCGCTTGGTCAAAGATTTTTGGGTGTGCCAGATATAGTGAAGTTCGAAGTCCTAAGTTGAAGAGACATATAAAAGGCAAACCTGCCGTTTCAGCTTCTCTCGTTTCCCATCTTCATAATAGCAATGAATTTCTTGGTCCCTACATCGGCCACATGGTGGCTGAAGGCCATCACACTTGGATTTTCGGCGGCGACAGGGCTCACAGGCATGGCTAACTCGCTGTCGATCGGATCCAGAGGCCGCCTGCTTCGATCCCGGGCGTTGTAGCCGCGGAATTGGCACCTTATGCTCTGTTTGAAAGTGCGTAGTGATCGTGACATTACCCAGATCTGACTGCAAAGGCAACGAATTGTTCGTGGCTGGATAGCTGGGGATGTTTGGCGAAGAAGATGGAGCGGCGTTAAAGCGGTGAGGTTGGGATAGGGGCCGCGTTCCTTGGCGTCGTCTGGCGGAGGTTCTATCCATCGTTTTGCGTCTTTGAGTCAAGAATAAATTTTTCCCACTTCCACGAAAGATCATGCAGCACACCGGCAAATTCCATCTCACTTAGGTTCAAAGAAGGGAGATATATACCTCTTCATAGCCAGCAAAGATAGACGAGGTTGGTAAGCTAAAAAGGCCCAAAGTCACAATTCTAGCTGACTTCGAGGTGGCGCCTAGTGCTCTCGGATCATCTCTGACCCTCCATCTCTTTTCATCTTGGCTGCCGAAGCACCGCGTCCCTCAGATATGGGCCCGAAGATGGTGGTGAAGGAGATCCCCTCGGAAATCTTGCCAATTGTCAGTGACAACTTGCGAAGGCCGACAAGGCTAAATGCTGGCGAGACCAGAAACATTCGCGAGGCCAGAGCCAGACAATTATTGGTTTGAAATGCGGCTCGTAAAACGTCTTAAATTTGGTCAAATGACAGTCAGTTGAGACCGCTGGCCAAGTAGTAGCTGACCTTTCTTTCAAATCATATCCTTGACTTGCATCCCGGGTTGGAGACACGGCTCGATCCCCATGCTGCATGCAAGTTTCCAAGCAGGGAAATCCTGATAGGAGAAAATTACCTGCGGGCCGGCGCAAGACCCTAAAAGAGCCTCCATGTCTCTACTTAGCCGAAAGCTGACGTTTAAACCCCCCCGCCCGAGGGTTTTGAATTTTTCTGTCTGTCATCGAGCGTCGCTTGTGCAGAACAAATCTGCAAATTGAAAACGAGCCGGTTTTAATCTGTCATCGGGGCCGGGTTGAAATATCAGATCTCAATGGTGACCGAGCCGGTTCGCCTTGCAATGGTATGATGTGCACTGACCTTTGACCTAGTTGCATGACAAGCGAGGTTAGACGAACAGGCCATGGGTTCTGGGGTTGAAAGCCCACTCTTGCCGGACAATGCGAAACATACGCGTCTTCCACGACCTAGAACCTTCGCAAGTCCTCGGTAGCAGGCGGTTTCCGCCAGATGATCGACCATTTCCCGTTTGTTAGCGGCCACCTAATGTTTTGCGCCAAATTCACTACTGCAGCAATTTGGAACTCTTCGACGAGCTGAGCGAACAACACCCTGCCAAGTGGCAGTAGTGTCATATCCAATCTTCCTGCTTCGTACTGAAGTAGTTCCGGTTTTGCGGGACTGGGCAGGCAACTGATTCTAAAAATGGCCGTTTACGGGTGGCTAACTCGTCCGCGACCTTTGGAGCCCGCACTGATACAGATTATGAAGTTGGTGAAATTCCAACTTAGGGCCATAGCGCATATCTTTGCGGCATGGACCTAAAGCCATACCTGGCTGTTGGTTGATAAAGGGCGTATCGATCAGCTGGATCGGTTCGAAAGTACAAAATACAAGCTGCCAGATTTTCAACTCTCGAAGGTATCGACGGTTGGCTGAAGTAGTCATGAGCTCTCGGCATCAAGCATCAAAATGACACATCAAATAACGCAGGCGGCGTCTGCAGCACAAGCACTTATCGACTCACCTTGCTTTTCCCTGACGCATCCTATTCGCTGAACCCATTGGACCACCACGAACGGTTAGCGGGTATGCAGAAGCGAACATTCCCCAGCCATGGCGCTCGACTTGGGATCCATCGTGATTCGAAGAACGATTTGGTCGAGGAATTCCAGAACAGGGTGGGTTGACTTCCATCTGTCGGAACTGACGAAGATCTGTACTGTACGTGCTCTACGGTTGAGTGCCGAGAAATAAACGATTTTAACAAGCTTTGCGATTACCGTTGGAGATCTCGGATCACTGGCTTCTTCGGAGCTCGATGCCGAGTTATCCTGGGCTTCGCTCTGCAGACTAGGAAAAAGCAAGTCTTGCAATCTGGACCTTTCCAAACCCAACTCCGTAGTATGTGGGGTTGACACTTCAGTAACTTGGTTTCAGCCAGATGGAGAATCTCAGCCGTTGGATTTTCGCGGTCAACTGAGGATCAGCGCCGATTACCATTGTGCGCGAGATTAGTTAGGTGTCCATTTATCTCACTAGTTCTTTCGACTCCCAGAGAGATCATGGAGGTAGCCTATTGGGGTGCAAACTTTTCACTTAGTACCATCCCACCTCAAGATATGGTATCTCTGAAACTGTTGGCCGACGGTTGCTTTGCTCTATATCGATAACACGAGATTGAACAGTCGCTCGCTTTGAATTGTCGAGGCATCTGTTCAATTTTCTGTTGGTCCAGGGATAGCGCCCGACATGATTTCTTGTATCTTACTCTAACAGTGCTGCCTGGAAAAATTTTGTACTTGTGGATTGATACCCACCTCTGGAAGTTATGAAAGCTGAAAAATAATGGGCAGCACCACCAGTGTTCTAGAAGTGAGGGCAATAACTACCACGTTTGGGCGGGAAATACCTTATGGGGGCTATGCAATATTCAAATATTCTGGTCCCAATGAATGTCTGTTTACTGATATTGTTCAAGCAGGTTTCAAAGAGTAAGTGCTTAGGCCACACTATTGTCCACGAATGCCCAAAGAGACTTTTGAACACAGGTGCCCAACATTTTTGGGCCATCTGGAGCTGAAGCGGACTAACAGGTCTAGATTGCTCGAGCCTTGAGTTGCATGGTATGAAACCCTGTCAGTCTCTGATCCTGGCTTGTCAATCATATCTTGACAAGTTGGAAAGGAGGGCGACGCTCTAAATATACTGAACATCAGGCTTCAGCTGGTGAAACATATGTTGATTTGGCAATTTGAGCATAGAGCCAGCATAACCTCAAAAACTTGGAGTGTAGTGGGCTCTAGGCTTCATCAAAACAGTCTCTTTCTGCGAGGCATTTCATGATGGCGAATCCAGAGCTAGAGTGAATATATCCCTGCCCACCGTTGTATTATTGATTATGAGTGTCACCTATGCCTAGCTGATCACCGGCTTCTGAACACTGGAAAGGATGTTTTGCTGAGATATCCGACATCCTTAGCATCACGAGAGTGGAGGGCATGTCAGAAAGGATATATCTCTAGAATTTCGGGCTATGATATGATAGAAATATCACCATGTCATTCGTTATCACAATAGACAACAGCCTTGGTTGTGCCTGAGTGCCTGGACATTTATAGTCCCAAAATATTGAAACTTGCTATCACTTCAAGAAGGCTGAAGGAGCTCCTTGATCAGGGGAGATCTAGTTTTCAGCTCTTCAACTATTTCTGTCCAAGCCCTTTCTTGCAACCTTTTACCTTCTTCCGTAGATATCAAAAACTGCGATAGACTAGCGAGTAAAGATCGTTAGTACTCTGCCAAAAGCCGGAATCCCGAGAAACAGGGGAAACTCACTCCGGGAAAGAATCGTGTGTCCAGAATTTTCCATGCGACTCCTCTCCGAGCAAAGTTGCGCTCACCAACGTCCGGCTACCTTGCTCGGCCGATCTTCCAAATATAAAATAAAATATGGGTCCAAACAATCGGTGTACAAAGCTATCAAACTCCCTCTCTAAATTCGTGGAGCAGAATCCAGGGCACGCGGAGTTCACAATAACATCAACCGTCCCGTTTTCCTGGCGAGCAATTTTGGCGATACACTTCACGGCGAACTCAATTAAAATTTTGGAGACTTTGTATTGTACTATGGAAGAAAAATTCGACTCCGCGTTGACATGCTGGAGGATAGATTGGTCTTCTGAACCGACGAGTTGCTCCCCTTTAACGAATTTGTGGGTTCCGCTGGAAGTGAAGGTAAGATTTGCCGGGCCTCCTACATCCGTGCGGCTTGCTCGTAGCTTCTGAAGAAGCAACAGCGCGAGGAGGATGGTGGATAACGTGTTTATCTGAAGGGTGTCCTCCCACCCTTCTGAAGATAGGGTATAATTCCGGTGTAACACTCCCGCATTGAGCAGCGCGATATCCAACCGTGGGATCTCCTCATTGACACGCCTTGCGAAAGCAATCACACTATCGTACCTGCTCATATCCAGCGGCCAAATCTGCACGACCCCTTTTTGGCGGGTGAGCGTTTCGATGGTCGCTTTGGCCTGGTTGCCTCGCTCTGTGCTGCGACATCCGATAATCACGGTAGTTGCACCAAGATTGACATATTTGATAGCCGCTTCAAGGCCGAGGCCGCGATTTCCACCTGTGATGAGGACGGTTTTGCCTTCAAGTGACGTGTTTGGGTCGACAGGAGTGAAAATTCGCCCTTTTAGTAGGCGATAAAGGCCAGCTATCATAGCAGCCATATCCGACGGCAAGTGGAAAGGATAGGTAAATAGATGGGAGATGAGGGAGAAAGCGAAAACCAATGGGATAAATATGACTGCTGGGCTTCTATGTACTAAAGCAAAAGCTCCTAAGAGAGTAGGGAGTAGTTAACTAGTTATCTAACAGATTTTAGATCTGGACATCCGGTGTCATAGGGAACTTAAGAAAGGATGTAAGTTGGGTCGTCTCCACATCTGCTCACTCATAGAATTGCATTGTATCCTGTAGAAACTGTTCAGAAGTGTGATTGTTGACTCTCGCTCGGTTTGATGTTGGCTAATACATATATGAATTTTTAAGTTCTGCCATTTGGCGCAAAATCCTGTGATTTGCTGCGAAGCTCAATAAACTCCGTCGCTAAGCTCAAAACTTCCTTAACTACGGAGTACTCCGTACGGAGTAAAGTAGATGTTACTCCAAACTTTAACTTCAAAACTTCCATCTCCCTACATCCTGCTTAGCCTGCTATAGACGTCGCCAAGAATATTCCCCATATGTGCGTTGTACTATGGGGTTTCTGTGGTTGTGAGTAGCTGAAGTGTTCAAGTATCCAGGCCATTAAATATTCGGAACTGCATACAATAGGGTAGTTATATGAGCCTCCATTTTCTTTAAGATTCTCTGCCTAAATCAAATCAAATGTGTAACATTCAGCTGCTCCATGCCTTGACCTGCCAGCGACATTTAACTAGCCCAAGTATCTTCAGCCAAGAGCCGTCATCAACCGACAAGCCCGGACGTACTGTTCATCAAAGGTGAAACTTCCAAGAGAAAGCTGCCTAACCGTTGACGCATCATCAAACTCCATCCGTT